GCAAACAATAAGATTTGATTGATTTGTGTTGCATTACCCTATGTTGAATTTAAGTAACTTCATGTGATCCCTTTGAAAACAAAGCTGTTATCAATATGAAACATTAACTACACCTGCTGATGTGTAACTGAGTGACTGATAATCACTGATGACTGTATTCATGTCCACATCTTGTGGCCCCCCAGGGGCCTCTCCATTGGGATATCAATGGCCCAACTTCATCAAATGGCTGTGGTGTCGCTTACAGACGAACAGGTTCAGAGAGGGTACCAGAATTAGATACACACATTTATATTAAGTTATATTGTTAGTGATCTTCCTAGCTAACGTTTTATCAACCTAGCTAGCTACCCCATCCCACCTACATGTACGTTTTGCTAGCTAACGTTTCCGTTAGCATACGTTACCTGTAACTTTTAGCTAGGTCTGGTGAGACGGCTAACATCTAAATGAGTTAGCTGGCAGCACAACAATGATAACTGAAATTGAAATTGAGTAGCCAACTAGCATTAACGTTGCCTCTGAAATGCTGTTGGTTTTCACTCAGACAGGCCTTGTATCAGAAGTTAGCGGAGTGTCTCGCTTTGAGATAGCCGATGATGATAGCAACGGCCTATTTATTGCCTTACCTCCATAACTTACTACATTTGCACACACTGTATATATATTTTCTGTTGTATTTTTGACTTTATGTTTTGTTTTACCCCATGTGTAACTCTGTTGTTGTTTTTATCGCACTTCTTTGCTTTATCTTGGCCAGGTCGCAGTTGGAAATGAGAACTTGTTCTCAACTGGCTTAACTGGTTAAATAAAAGAAATAAAATGAAACTCAACTCCAAGGTAGGAATTACGACTATGTGGTCGGGCTGGAACTCCGACGTCACTTAACTAGATTGTATGAAAACCTCCATATTTCAGCACCCAAAGGATAGCAGGCAATTACACACGATCGGTCTGTGGAATTACGGGCTATTCGTTGGGTGCTCAAATCAGTAGTTTGATAACTTTCATCAGTAAACGGCCAAATAGTAAGTCAATGTAACGTTAGCTAACGTTAGTTAGCTAGATTACTAATTTACTGTACAAATAACCAGTTTAGTTAACTAACTAGACTTACACGAGACCCCAAAACCCAAATAACTAGTAATACATACCGTACTAGCTCGTTAACTAGCTAGCTAGATACTACTACCTAACGAGCTAGCCGGTCTAGTGTCAACAAACCGATGGCACAGATGAAAGGGGAAAAGTATATTTGGATATGGGACGGGCGTTAGCTAGATAGATAGTTAGCTAGCCAACTTTAGCCATAATTAACGTTAACTAGCTAGCTAACGACGTACATCGACAATCGAGGTAACGTAAACCTGGCTAACTAGCTACCTAGTTAGTTACCTTATGGATCCTTTTCAGCGCCATCCTCGCTTCGAGAGAGCCGCAATCAATGTTGCAATGCGAATCTTCACCGAGTTTGCCCAACTGGGCAACTGACGCGGTATAACAGGGGAGCTAGCTAGCTAGCTGGCCAGGCAAATCCAATGTTAGCTAACGCTAAGCGTCGCGGTATAACAGGGGAGCTAGCTAGCTAGCTGGCCAGGCAAATCCAATGTTAGCTAACGTTAAGCGTCGACCCTAATATAGCTAGCTAGGCTAACGTTAGCTAGATGGCTAACGTACGACTGTGCGTATGCCGCGGCGTCGAAAAACCAAACAGTTCCTTGACAAAAAAAGCTAGCTATCTAATCTTCACTTGAAATAAATCAATACGGGAACGACCACGTCTTTATCGTCGTTAACGTATATCTTCCTCCGTAGCTTGTATAAATAACTGTTCTTCCGCAAAATATTAGCAACAAGATGTCGTCTCCGTCCGAAACAACTAGCATGACAGGGAGCTAACCGCTTGCTAGCCACATCATGCATTCCTAATGGGCGGTCCTGTGGAGAACTCCGCCCCAGCCCTTATTGACCGTCATATAATAATATCCCACTAATACGTACCTATTTATGTATTAGGTGACGCATAGTTACAGTAATCACACACACATCATTTATATACAAAAATAATGAGTAGTTATACATCTCAGCAGTTGGACAACAGGAGCCACTGTTCAATTCTGTGCTTCATACATATCGGTACCGCAGGTATCATAGGAAATTCCTTCAAACAACCATAGAGCATCGTGTCAGCAAACATGATTCATTAGTTTATAATCCACAGTAGACAATATGGTAGTTTATGTTATTGTTGGCCTATAAATAAACCTGAAGTGACCATGACCATGACATACTTTGTACTTTGTACAGTTGACACAGAACTATGATGAGACAATTCCCATTTACATATGGCAGAATAAATATGCACTTGGTGTTTCAGTGGCAGAATTGTAGTCAAAAGAAAATAACATGTTCCCCAAGAAGGTACTTCATTTTCAGGTGTATGCTACCTTATATTGTTAGCCTGGCTACCAGTCTGTTTTCAGGTGTATGCTACCTTATATTGTTAGCCTGGGTACCAGTCTGTTAGTGCTAACATTCCCCTCCTTGTCATGTTTGGCATGGCAAAGAGTTGGAATGATAGCACAAACAGATCTTCGACCAGGCTAACCTTCTATATCATCATCATTATTATTATGATTATTATTTATTTAATACCAAAACGACAACATCACTCCTGCCCAGACCCACCACAACATCACTCCTGCCCAGACCCACCACCACATCACCCCTGCCCAGACCCACCACCACATCACCCCTGCCCAGACCCACCACCACATCACCCCTGCCCAGACCCACCACCACATCACCCCTGCCCAGACCCACCACAACATCACCCCTGCACCAGACCCACCACACCACATCACCCCTGCCCAGACCCACCACACATCACTCCTGCCCACGACCCACCACAACATCACCCCTGCCCAGACCCACCACAACATCACCCCTGCCCAGACCCACCTGCTCACACACCCCTGCCCAGCCCACCTGCTCACACCACCCCATTTCCAGCGCCCGTTTCACACACCACAATCACCCCTGCCCAGACCACCACCACATCACCCTGCCCAGACCCACCACAACATCCACTCCTGCCCGTACCGCACCACCACCATCACCCCTGCCCAGACCAACCACCACATCACCCCTGCCCAGTACCCACCACCACATCACCCCTGCCCAGACCCACAACCACATCACCCCTTGCCCAGACCCACCACCACTCAACCCTGCCCAGACCCACCTGCTCCACAACCTCTGCCCAGACCCACCACCACATCACCCCTGCCCAAGACCCCCCAACCACATCACCCCTGCCCCGAACCCCCACCCAACCTCACCCCTGCCCAGACACCACCAACAACATCACCACTGCCCAGACCCCCCTGCAACCCCCCCCATCTCTCCAGCGCCCGTTTCACACACCACCACATGGCGTCAAACGTCACCATTTTGTTTCTCTCCGTCGCCCATATACTTTCAACATTTAGATAATAAACATTTGACCTTTCCACTGTGTTAACGATGGAGGATTGGTTGATTTCCAGTTTTTAAGTATACGTTTTTTCAAGATGATTGACAAGGAATGTATGTCCAACCCATCGGGTATCTCTGCACCCTCATATGACATGTCTTGAAATATGCAAGCAGACGGATTAAAAGTACATTTCCATTGGTAATACTTCTGACAGCCATCTTTCTAACTCCGCCCACAACTTTTGGATTTACAACATTCCCAGAAGCCATGAATTATTGAGTCATTGTTAGTTTTACACTTAAGACATGACTCTGCCGTTGTGCTGTAGAATTTGTCAATTTTGTCTCGTGCAATACATTCTATACATTAGTTTATACTGGATTAAGCGTACTTTTTAGTTATCTGTAATTTAGTTAGTTATGTTCCAACTTTCCTTCCATCTTGTGCCAACATCAGTTATATTTAATGTCTTGGTTCCAATAGTTGATATATTTGTTTCTAAGAGGTAGTCAGTTGGATCGGCTCTCTGCTCTCTGCAAGGTTTGGTAGATCTTCCCTATCATATGAATATCCTTTTACATTTAATTTTTTTTACATTACACTTTTCTGACTCAAATAGGGTTCCCTCAAGATTACTCTGATGTCCAAAAGCATTTCAAGCACATTTATTATTAGATTGTCAGCTGAAGGGTTGGACATTTGTTTTCCAACATTGTTTCACAGGTTTTTCAGTGGACTTGTTGGAGTTTCCCTTCACCACTCCTTCAAGGTCCCGTTGTGATGGGGTCCCCCCTCCTCTGTTCTGATAGGTCCTGTTGTGATGGGGTCCCCCCTCCTCTGTTCTGATAGGTCCTGTTGTGATGGGGTCCCCCCTCCTCTGTTCTGATAGTAGAACTACAGGTCCCGTTGTGATGGGGTCCCCCCTCCTCTGTTCTGATAGGTCCCGTTGTGATGGGGTCCCCCCTCCTCTGTTCTGATAGGTCCTGTTGTGATGGGGTCCCCCCTCCTCTGTTCTGATAGGTCCTGTTGTGATGGGGTCCCCCCTCCTCTGTTCTGAGAGTAGAACTACAGGTCCCGTTGTGATGGGGTCCCCCCTCCTCTGTTCTGATAGTAGAACTACAGGTCCCGTTGTGATGGGGTCCCCCCTCCTCTGTTCTGATAGTAGAACTACAGGTCCCGTTGTGATGGGGTCCCCCCTCCTCTGTTCTGATAGTAGAACTACAGGTCCTGTTGTGATGGGGTCCCCCCTCCTCTGTTCTGATAGTAGAACTACAGGTCCTGTTGTGATGGGGTCCCCCCTCCTCTGTTCTGATAGGTCCTGTTGTGATGGGGTCCCCCCTCCTCTGTTCTGATAGTAGAACTACAGGTCCTGTTGGCCCATCTGTGTAGCCTAGATCTCTGTCACAGAGTAGGATTTCACCTCTCAGGGCGTGTCCAGTTCTACACTGTATGACCGTGGCCGTCCCCTGTGTTCATGGTTCTGTTGGGTGAGGTCTCCCATCCTGCTCGCAGTCTCAGCCCTTCAGGTCTTTCTGGTTGTTTTCCCTGACAGAGGTCCACAGCTGTTTTCTCCTAGAAGGTTGTTCTCAGTCCTGCAGTTCTGTATAGCCACATTCACTCTAGTCAATACTCGGCCATTCCACTCTTTGAGAGTAGATTGCACTAACAGTCCTTTGGTTATGCAGTCAACCCCTCCACCGTTGCTCCTGCTCCCCTGAAGGCCTGTGTTGTCTCTGTTGGTAGGATGAGCTCCATCCCAAGGCTCCAGTCTCCAGTCTCCAGGACTATCCCCAGAAGAGCAACTGGACCCTAGGCTGACAAAGCCTACAAAGTCCCCTGTGGAGCTGAAGCGGAGACCCTGGACAGGCTTCCTGCGTGGGCATCCAGGTCTGTCCTCTCTATCTAAACCTCCCTCTCCCAGGGTCTCTGGCCCTCCTGGTGATCTGGGGAGCCTGGGGATGGCCGGTTAGCTGCAGTTCGTCAACACGGCTGAGCTCATTTCCTGGAAAGGAAGAGATGTGTGTTTTACTGGAAGGAACTAACAAGAACTAGCCAAGCTCAAAACTCTCTCAAAGCTCTCTCCCAGGAACATCAACCCTCTGACTATTTGGTATGATTAACTATTTGGTAAATCATAATGTCATGACTATGTTTATATTGTACCCATATCTATATATACATACAGGGCTTTCAGAAAGTATTCATACCCCTTGACTTATTCCACATTTTGTTGTGTTACAGCCTGAATTAAAAATTGATTAAAAAAAAAAAGCCACTCACCCACCTATACACAATACCCCATAATTACAACGTGAAAACATGTTTTTAGACATTTTAGCAAATGTATTGAAAATGTATTACAGAAATATATAATTTCCATAAGTAATCACACTTCAGTCAATAGTTTGTAGAAGCACCTTTGGCAGCGATTACAGCTGTGAGTCTTTCTGGGTAAGTCTCTAAGAGCTCTCCACACCTGGATTGTGCAACATTTGCCCATTATTTTTTTCAAAATTCTTCAAGCTCTGTCAAATTGGTTGTTGATCATTGCTAGACAACCTGTTTCAGGTCTTGCTATAGATATTCAAGTAGATTTAAGTCAAAACTAACTCCGCCACTCAGGAACATTCACTGTCTTCTTGGTAAGCAACTCCAGTGTAGATTTGGCCTTGTGTTTTGGGTTATTGTCCTGCTGAAAGGTGAATTCATCTCCCAGTGTCTGGTGGAAAGCCGACAACCAGGTTTTCCTCCAGGATTTTTCCTGTGCTAAGCTCCATTCCGTTTTTTATCCTGAAAAACTCCCCAGTCCTTATCGATTACAAGCATACCCATAACATGATGCAGCCACCACTATGCTTGAAAATATGGAGAGCGGTACTCAGTAATGTGTTGTATTGGATTTGCCCCAAACATAACACTTTGTTTTCAAGACAAAAAGTTAATTGATTTGCCAAATTGTTTGCAGTATTACTTTAGTGCCTTGTTGCAAACAGGATGCATGTTTTGGAATATTTGTATTCCTTCTTTTCACTCTGTCATTTAGGTTAGTATTGTAGAGTAACTACAATGATGTTGATCCATCCTCAGTTTTCTCCTATCACAGCCATTAAACTCTGTAACTGTTTTAAAGTCACCATTGGCCTCATGGTGAAATCCCTAAGTGGTTTCCTTCTTCTCCGTTAACTGAGTTAGGAAGGACGCCTGTATCCATTCAAAGTGTAATTAAATAACTTCCCCATGCTCAAAGGGAAATTCAATGTTTGCTTCTTTAATTTTTACCCATCTCCCAACCGATGCCCTTCTTTGCCGAGGCATTGGAAAACCTCCCTGGTCTTTGTGGTTGAATCTGTTTGAAATTCACTGCCGGGGTACAGAGGTGAGGTAGTCATTCAAAATCGTGTTAAACACTATTATTGCACACAGAGTGAATCCATGCAATGTATGTGACGTGTTAACCCTTCAGACCCCAATATAATGATAGAATGCTGCTGCAGATTACTGAGACATGGCTCAAAAACAAAGAACAAATGACAATTACAAGGTGACGTAGTTTTAAAGAGCACGACCTCTTCTTTAATATGACACCCCATTCAGGTCAAGAGGAATAACACTCATTTTGTCCTCCAGTGTGTAAAGACACGCACTATCAAACAACGATTAACACTCAACACAGCGAAAAACCCCTAGAGTATTTAAATTGCAGTAAATTTGACTAAATTACTCACTCAATATGTACTAAGTATAATATATAATACTAATAAATATTATGTACATATGAATAAAACTATTATCCAAAATGTGACCAGAGGACAATATTCAGAAAGTATTTCAAAACACAAAATAGGCTATTTGATTAACAACAATTGTAACTTCTGTAACAATGTAAAAATGCAAAACAACTATTCAGAGACTATTTCAAAATGTAGATAACCTCCCTCAATAAGATTTAGTGAAGACCATGCCTGATCTTCCTGTCCGGTTTTGCGCCCCCTTGGGGTCGTGCGGTGGAGGAGATCTTCGTGGGCTATACTCAGCCTTGTCTCAGGGTAGTAGGTTGGTGGTCTGTTGATATCCCTCTGGGGGTGTGGGGGCTGTGCTTTGGCAAAGTGGGTGGGGTTATATCCTGCCTGGTTGGCCCTGTCTGGGGGTATCGTCGGACGGGGCCACAGTCTCAGCCTCCCCCCTGTCTCAGCCTCCAGTATCTATGCTGCAATAGTCTATGTGCCGGGGGGCTAGGGTCAGTCTGTTATATCTGGTGTTATTGTCCTGTCTTATCCGGTGTCCTGTGTGAATTTAAGTATTCTCCCTCTAATTCTCTCTCTCCCCCTCCCCTCCCAGAGGACCTGAGCCCTAGGACCATGCCTCAGGACTACCTGGCCTGATGACTCCTGGCTGTCCCCCAGTCCACCTGGTCCTCTCTCCCTCCCCTCCCAGAGGACCTGAGCCCTAGGACCATGCCTCAGGACTACCTGGCCTGATGACTCCTGGCTGTCCCCAGTCCACCTGGTCGTGCTGCTGCTCCAGTTTCCACTCTTCTGCCTGCGGCTATGGAACCCTGACCTGTTCACCGGACGTGCTACCTTTTCCCGGACCTGCTGTTTTCAACTCTCTCTCTCTCTACCGCACCTGCTGACTCGACCTCTGAATGCTTGGCTATGAAAAGCCAACTGACATTTACTCCAGAGCCTGGTTCCTCTCTAAGTTTCTGCCTTTCTAGGGAGTTTTTCCTAGCCACTGTGCTTCTACATCTGCATTGCTTGCTGTTTGGGGTTTTAGGCTGGGTTTCTGTATAGCACTTTGTGACATCTGCTGATGTAAAAAGGGCTTTATAAATACATTTGATTGATTGATTGATTGATGCCTGACACAAAATGTAGATAACCTCTCTCAATAAGATTTAGTACAGAGCAGGCCTGACAACATGTAGAAATAGACTCAGCAAAAAAAGAAATGTCCCTTTTTCAGGACCGTCTTTCAAAGATCATTAATAATAATCCCTCTTCCTTCCTCTTCCATTTTCTCAACCGTACTCACTCTCTTCCTAATAAGGGGTTTTCTCAACCGTACACGCTCTCTTCCTAATAAGGGGTTTTCTCAACCGTACACGCTCTCTTCCTAATAAGGGGTTTTCTCGATGAGAGACGAGAGACGAGAGAGTCTAACTGAGTCTCATATTACATCCCAGCTCTGCCCTGACTATAACCCTGTCTAACTGAGTCTCATATTACATCCCAGCTCTGCCCTGACTATAACCCTGTCTGAGTCTCATATTACATCCCAGCTCTGCCCTGACTATAACCCTGTCTAACTGAGTCTCATATTACATCCCAGCTCTGCCCTGACTATAACCCTGTCTGAGTCTCATATTACATCCCAGCTCTGCCCTGACTATAACCCTGTCTAACTGAGTCTCATATTACACCCCAGCTCTGCCCTGACTATAACCCTGTCTGAGTCTCATATTACATCCCAGCTCTGCCCTGACTATAACCCTGTCTGAGTCTCATATTACATCCCAGCTCTGCCCTGACTATAACCCTGTCTAACTGAGTCTCATATTACATCCCAGCTCTGCCCTGACTATAACCCTGTCTGAGTCTCATATTACATCCCAGCTCTGCCCTGACTATAACCCTGTCTAACTGAGTCTCATATTACACCCCAGCTCTGCCCTGACTATAACCCTGTCTGAGTCTCATATTACATCCCAGCTCTGCCCTGACTATAACCCTGTCTGAGTCTCATATTACATCCCAGCTCTGCCCTGACTATAACCCTGTCTGAGTCTCATATTACATCCCAGCTCTGCCCTGACTATAAACCCTGTCTAACTGAGTCTCATATTACACCCCAGCTCTGCCCTGACTATAACCCTGTCTGAGTCTCATATTACATCCCAGCTCTGCCCTGACTAAACCCTGTCTAACTGAGTCTCATATTACATCCCAGCTCTGCCCTGACTATAACCCTGTCTAACTGAGTCTCATATTACATCCCAGCTCTGCCCTGACTATAACCCTGTCTAACTGAGTCTCATATTACATCCCAGCTCTGCCCTGACTATAAACCCTGTCTAACTGAGTCTCATATTACATCCCAGCTCTGCCCTGACTATAACCCTGTCTGAGTCTCATATTACCATCCCAGCTCTGCCCTGACTATAACCCTGTCTGAGTCTCATATTACATCCCAGCTCTGCCCTGACTATAACCCTGTCTAACTGAGTCTCATATTACACCCCAGCTCTGCCCTGACTATAACCCTGTCTAACTGAGTCTCATATTACATCCCAGCTCTGCCCTGACTATAACCCTGTCTGAGTCTCATATTACATCCCAGCTCTGCCCTGACTATAACCCTGTCTGAGTCTCATATTACATCCCAGCTCTGCCCTGACTATAACCCTGTCTGAGTCTCATATTACATCCCAGCTCTGCCCTGACTATAACCCTGTCTGAGTCTCATATTACATCCCAGCTCTGCCCTGACTATAACCCTGTCTGAGCCTCATATTACATCCCAGCTCTGCCCTGACTATAACCCTGTCTGAGTCTCATATTACATCCCAGCTCTGCCCTGACTATAACCCTGTCTAACTGAGTCTCATATTACATCCCAGCTCTGCCCTGACTATAACCCTGTCTAACTGAGTCTCATATTACATCCCAGCTCTGCCCTGACTATAACCCTGTCTAACTGAGTCTCATATTACATCCCAGCTCTGCCCTGACTATAACCCTGTCTGAGTCTCATATTACATCCCAGCTCTGCCCTGACTATAACCCTGTCTAACTGAGTCTCATATTACCTCCCAGCTCTGCCCTGACTATAAACCCTGTCTGAGTCTCATATTACATCCCAGCTCTGCCCTGACTATAACCCCTGTCTGAGTCTCATATTACATCCCAGCTCTGCCCTGACTATAACCCTGTCTGAGTCTCATATTACATCCCAGCTCTGCCCTGACTATAAACCCTGTCTAACTGAGTCTCATATTACATCCCAGCTCTGCCCTGACTATAACCCTGTCTGAGTCTCATATTACATCCCAGCTCTGCCCTGACTAAACCCTGTCTGAGTCTCATATTACCATCCCAGCTCTGCCCTGACTATAACCCTGTCTGAGTCTCATATTACATCCCAGCTCTGCCCTGACTATAACCCTGTCTGAGTCTCATATTACATCCCAGCTCTGCCCTGACTATAACCCTGTCTGAGTCTCATATTACATCCCAGCTCTGCCCTGACTATAACCCTGTCTGAGTCTCATATTACATCCCAGCTCTGCCCTGACTATAACCCTGTCTGAGTCTCATATTACATCCCAGCTCTGCCCTGACTATAACCCTGTCTGAGTCTCATATTACATCCCAGCTCTGCCCTGACTATAAACCCTGTCTGAGTCTCATATTACCTCCCAGCTCTGCCCTGACTATAACCCTGTCTGAGTCTCATATTACATCCCAGCTCTGCCCTGACTATAACCCTGTCTGAGTCTCATATTACATCCCAGCTCTGCCCTGACTATAACCCTGTCTGAGTCTCATATTACATCCCAGCTCTGCCCTGACTATAACCCTGTCTGAGTCTCATATTACATCCCAGCTCTGCCCTGACTATAACCCTGGTCTAACTGAGTCTCATATTACATCCTAGCTCTGCCCTGACTATAAACCCTGTCTAACTGAGTCTCATATTACATCCCAGCTCTGCCCTGACTATAACCCTGTCTAACTGAGTCTCATATTACATCCCAGCTCTGCCCTGACTATAACCCTGTCTGAGTCTCATATTACATCCCAGCTCTGCCCTGACTATAACCCTGTCTGAGTCTCATATTACATCCCAGCTCTGCCCTGACTATAACCCTGTCTAACTGAGTCTCATATTACATCCCAGCTCTGCCCTGACTATAACCCTGTCTAACTGAGTCTCATATTACATCCCAGCTCTGCCCTGACTATAACCCTGTCTGAGTCTCATATTACACCCCAGCTCTGCCCTGACTATAACCCTGTCTAACTGAGTCTCATATTACATCCCAGCTCTGCCCTGACTATAACCCTGTCTGAGTCTCATATTACATCCCAGCTCTGCCCTGACTATAACCCTGTCTAACTGAGTCTCATATTACATCCCAGCTCTGCCCTGACTATAACCCTGTCTAACTGAGTCTCATATTACATCCCAGCTCTGCCCTGACTATAACCCTGTCTAACTGAGTCTCATATTACATCCCAGCTCTGCCCTGACTATAACCCTGTCTGAGTCTCATATTACATCCCAGCTCTGCCCTGACTATAACCCTGTCTAACTGAGTCTCATATTACATCCCAGCTCTGCCCTGACTATAACCCTGTCTGAGTCTCATATTACATCCCAGCTCTGCCCTGACTATAACCCTGTCTAACTGAGTCTCATATTACATCCCAGCTCTGCCCTGACTATAACCCTGTCTGAGTCTCATATTACATCCCAGCTCTGCCCTGACTATAACCCTGTCTGAGTCTCATATTACATCCCAGCTCTGCCCTGACTATAACCCTGTCTGAGTCTCATACTACATCCCAGCTCTGCCCTGACTATAACCCTGTCTGAGTCTCATATTACATCCCAGCTCTGCCCTGACTATAACCCTGTCTGAGTCTCATACTACATCCCAGCTCTGCCCTGACTATAACCCTGTCTGAGTCTCATATTACATCCCCAGCTCTGCCCTGACTATAACCCTGTCTAACTGAGTCTCATATTACATCCCAGCTCTGCCCTGACTATAACCCTGTCTAACTGAGTCTCATATTACATCCCAGCTCTGCCCTGACTATAACCCTGTCTGAGTCTCATATTACATCCCAGCTCTGCCCTGACTATAACCCTGTCTAACTGAGTCTCATATTACATCCCAGCTCTGCCCTGACTATAACCCTGTCTGAGTCTCATATTACATCCCAGCTCTGCCCTGACTATAACCCTGTCTGAGTCTCATATTACATCCCAGCTCTGCCCTGACTATAACCCTGTCTGAGTCTCATATTACATCCCAGCTCTGCCCCTGACTATAACCCTGTCTAACTGAGTCTCATATTACATCCCAGCTCTGCCCTGACTATAACCCTGTCTAACTGAGTCTCATATACATCCCAGCTCTGCCCTGACTATAACCCTGTCTAACTGAGTCTCATATTACATCCCAGCTCTGCCCTGACTATAACCCTGTCTAACTGAGTCTCATATTACATCCCAGCTCTGCCCCTGACTATAACCCTGTCTGAGTCTCATATTACATCCCAGCTCTGCCCTGACTATAACCCTGTCTGAGTCTCATATTACATCCCAGCTCTGCCCTGACTATAACCCTGTCTAACTGAGTCTCATATTACATCCCAGCTCTGCCCTGACTATAACCCTGTCTGAGTCTCATATTACATCCCAGCTCTGCCCTGACTATAACCCTGTCTGAGTCTCATATTACATCCCAGCTCTGCCCTGACTATAACCCTGTCTGAGTCTCATATTACATCCCAGCTCTGCCCTGACTATAACCCTGTCTGAGTCTCATATTACATCCCAGCTCTGCCCTGACTATAACCCTGTCTGAGTCTCATATTACATCCCAGCTCTGCCCTGACTATAACCCTGTCTGAGTCTCATATTACATCCCAGCTCTGCCCTGACTATAACCCTGTCTGAGTCTCATATTACATCCCAGCTCTGCCCTGACTATAACCCTGTCTGAGTCTCATATTACATCCCAGCTCTGCCCTGACTATAACCCTGTCTGAGTCTCATATTACCTCCCAGCTCTGCCCTGACTATAACCCTGTCTGAGTCTCATATTACATCCCAGCTCTGCCCTGACTATAACCCTGTCTGAGTCTCATATTACATCCCAGCTCTGCCCTGACTATAACCCTGTCTGAGTCTCATATTACATCCCAGCTCTGCCCTGACTATAACCCTGTCTGAGTCTCATATTACATCCCAGCTCTGCCCTGACTATAACCCTGTCTAACTGAGTCTCATATTACATCCTAGCTCTGCCCCTGACTATAACCCTGTCTAACTGAGTCTCATATTACATCCCAGCTCTGCCCTGACTATAACCCTGTCTAACTGAGTCTCATATTACATCCCAGCTCTGCCCTGACTATAACCCTGTCTGAGTCTCATATTACATCCCAGCTCTGCCCTGACTATAACCCTGTCTGAGTCTCATATTACATCCCAGCTCTGCCCTGACTATAACCCTGTCTAACTGAGTCTCATATTACATCCCAGCTCTGCCCTGACTATAACCCTGTCTAACTGAGTCTCATATTACATCCCAGCTCTGCCCTGACTATAACCCTGTCTGAGTCTCATATTACACCCCAGCTCTGCCCTGACTATAACCCTGTCTAACTGAGTCTCATATTACATCCCAGCTCTGCCCTGACTATAACCCTGTCTGAGTCTCATATTACATCCCAGCTCTGCCCTGACTATAACCCTGTCTAACTGAGTCTCATATTACATCCCAGCTCTGCCCTGACTATAACCCTGTCTAACTGAGTCTCATATTACATCCCAGCTCTGCCCTGACTATAACCCTGTCTAACTGAGTCTCATATTACATCCCAGCTCTGCCCTGACTATAACCCTGTCTGAGTCTCATATTACATCCCAGCTCTGCCCTGACTATAACCCTGTCTAACTGAGTCTCATATTACATCCCAGCTCTGCCCTGACTATAACCCTGTCTGAGTCTCATATTACATCCCAGCTCTGCCCTGACTATAACCCTGTCTAACTGAGTCTCATATTACATCCCAGCTCTGCCCTGACTATAACCCTGTCTGAGTCTCATATTACATCCCAGCTCTGCCCTGACTATAACCCTGTCTGAGTCTCATATTACATCCCAGCTCTGCCCTGACTATAACCCTGTCTGAGTCTCATACTACATCCCAGCTCTGCCCTGACTATAACCCTGTCTGAGTCTCATATTACATCCCAGCTCTGCCCTGACTATAACCCTGTCTAACTGAGTCTCATATTACATCCCAGCTCTGCCCTGACTATAACCCTGTCTAACTGAGTCTCATATTACATCCCAGCTCTGCCCTGACTATAACCCTGTCTGAGTCTCATATTACATCCCAGCTCTGCCCTGACTATAACCCTGTCTAACTGAGTCTCATTCATCCCAGCTCTGCCCCTGACTATAACCCTGTCTGAGTCTCATATTACATCCCAGCTCTGCCCTGACTATAACCCTGTCTGAGTCTCATATTACATCCCAGCTCTGCCCTGACTATAACCCTGTCTGAGTCTCATATTACATCCCAGCTCTGCCCTGACTATAACCCTGTCTAACTGAGTCTCATATTACATCCCAGCTCTGCCCTGACTATAACCCTGTCTAACTGAGTCTCATATTACATCCCAGCTCTGCCCTGACTATAACCCTGTCTAACTGAGTCTCATATTACATCCCAGCTCTGCCCCTGACTATAAACCCTGTCTAACTGAGTCTCATATTACATCCCAGCTCTGCCCTGACTATAACCCTGTCTGAGTCCTCATATTACATCCCAGCTCTGCCCTGACTATAACCCTGTCTGAGTCTCATATTACATCCCAGCTCTGCCCTGACTATAAACCCTGTCTACTGAGTCTCATATTACATCCCAGCTCTGCCCTGACTATAACCCTGTCTGAGTCTCATATTACATCCCAGCTCTGCCCTGACTATAACCCTGTCTAACTGAGTCTCATATTACATCCCAGCTCTGCCCTGACTATAACCCTGTCTAACTGAGTCTCATATTACATCCCAGCTCTGCCCTGACTATAACCCTGTCTAACTGAGTCTCATATTACATCCCAGCTCTGCCCTGACTATAACCCTGTCTGAGTCTCATATTACATCCCAGCTCTGCCCTGACTATAACCCTGTCTAACTGAGTCTCATATTACATCCCAGCTCTGCCCTGACTATAACCCTGTCTAACTGAGTCTCATATTACATCCCAGCTCTGCCCTGACTATAACCCTGTCTAACTGAGTCTCATATTACATCCCAGCTCTGCCCTGACTATAACCCTGTCTGAGTCTCATATTACATCCCAGCTCTGCCCTGACTATAACCCTGTCTAACTGAGTCTCATATTACATCCCAGCTCTGCCCTGACTATAACCCTGTCTAACTGAGTCTCATATTACATCCCAGCTCTGCCCTGACTATAACCCTGTCTGAGCCTCATATTACACCCCAGCTCTGAATCATGCATATTTCAGATCCTGAGGGGAACATAAGGAACTAATGCACCCAACTTCTGCCAGCACTGCAACTTAACCTTTCTACATTAGCTCTGACAGCCAGAGGTTTCTCAATAAAAAACAACAACATGACATTCTCTCCTGCTACCATTGTACAGAATGACCTTCTCCCTAACCTAGCACAGACATCCTGCTCTGAGACAGTGGATATAGTGCATTCCAGATATAATGTGCAGGTCTGTGCAGATAATATGATTGTTTGTGGTTCCTGAGACTTGTCAAAACATTGTTAAAGGGATACTTCGGGATGTTGGTAATGAAGCCCTTTATCTACTTCCCCAGAGTCAGATGAACTTGTGGATACCATTTTTATGTCTCTGCATCCAGTTTAAAGGAAGTTGCTAACTAGCATTAGCATGCTAGCTGTTCCTGTAGACTTCCAGTCATTGCGCTAACGCTAGTTAATATTGGCTCACGAAACTGCCTCTAACTTCATACTGGACGCAGGGACATAAAAATGGTATCCACAAGTTAGTGCAGAGTCTGGAACGAACCCTTGATCTAGCCTGCTGGTCCCAGATCTGTTTGTGCTATCATGTCAACTCCAACAAGGAGTGCCAAAGAGTGGTATGATGACACAAACAGACTGGTACCCAGGCTATCCCTGGTCCACCGTGTGTTGTGTAACCTCTCCAGGCTCCACCACTGGGTCTGTAGTCGCTGAGGGTTGATGACAGCAAGATCCAGGCTCCACCACTGGGTCTGTAGTCGCTGAGGGTTGATGACAGCAAGATCCAGGCTCCACCACTGGGTATGTAGTCGCTGAGGGTTGATGACAGACAGTTCCAGACTTCATCTTACCTTTCGGATGTAACTGGACTACGTAATGAACCAAACAAAACGTTCGTTGCTATGCTGGTTGCTTGGCTCTATTTTACCTCGTAGCGGTCGCGGAGGACAGAGGACGCGGGCAGTTCTAGTTCTATTTCACCTCATTAGCGCTCGCTCAGGCCGCGCAAATGTATTACATCAGAATCGCTCTCCAAGGACGGTGTTTTTGATGGTGACTACCTGCAGACTATACTGCTTCAGAAGACCGAAAAGACTGAAAAGAGAACACTCTTTCTTTACCATATAGTTGTCTTTATATAAGAAAATGGCTAGCTACTGTAGTGTCTGAGGGATTATGACTTTGCTAATGTTTTCAAAGTGGAACCTGAGAGGATGTTTATTCAGTTTTAGGGGGAGCAGTTTGAGGGACACCCCATAGAACAGAGGAAGTATGTTGTGTGGAGACAGGTGATTGGTCAGTATGGGAAACCACCCATATCCTGGTAAAGATTATAAGTACTGGTTTGAGACAAAGAAGATCAGAACAGACATATTATTTTGGGCCACTGTTCTCCAGATGCTGCAGACGTCTGTAAACTTATGCTGAAATCTTGTGATGTAAATAAAACGTATAATCAAAGTACAGTATAAGCGGACTCCTTGGTTTCACGGCATAATTAGCAACGTTTACTCGACACAACACTACTTATTTAACTCAGCCTGCCTTGTCAGCTAGCTAGCTAGCAAGTTTTAATTAGCTAACTGCTATTGTAGTTTTCTGTTTGTACGTAGTTTGCACTTTAATGGCGTCCCTCGAGGAGATTTTATTTTCGCTTTCCAACCAGGCGAAGCACGATGAAGGTACCACTGATCTCGACAAGAGGCGCAACATTAGTAGAGGGGCAGAGAAATTCACAATTCAGGGTAACGTTAAGTAGTTAACTTTATTAGATCACTGGAAGGATTTATTGTACAACCATTTTTCAACACTTAGCCATCTAGTTGGTTAGTTATACATTTAGTTACAGTGCATTCGGAAAGTATTCAGACCCCTTTACTTTCAAATTTTGTTACGTTATAGCCTTATTCTAAAATTGATTATATATATTTTTTTAAATCCTCATCAATCTACACACAATACCCCATAATGACAAAGTGAAAACAGGTTTTTAGAAATTTTAGCACATTTATTAAAACTAAAAAACCTTATTTACGTAAGTATTCAGACCCTTTGCTATGAGACTCGAAATTGAGCTCAGATGCATCATTTCCATTGATCATCCTTGAGATGATTCTACAACTTGATTGGAGTCCCCTGTGGTAAATTCAATTGATTGGACATGATTTGGAAAGGCGCACACCTGTCTATATAAGGTCCCACAGTTGACAGTGCATGTCAGAGCAACAACCAAGCCATGAGGTCGAAGGAATTGTCCTTAGAGCTCCGAGACAGGATTGTGTCGAGGCACAGATCTGGGGAAGGGTACCAAAAAATGTCTGCAGCATTGAAGGTCCCCAAGAACACAGTGGCCTCCATCATTCTTACATGGAAGAAGTTTGGAACCACCAAGACTCTTCCTAGAGCTGGCTCTTCCCAAACTGGTCAGGGAGGTGACCAAGAACCCGATGGTCACACCAACAGAGCTCCAGAGTTCCTCTGTGGAGATGGGAGAACCTTCCAGGACAACCATCTTTGCAGCACTCCACCAATCAGGCCTGTATGATAGAGTGGCCAGACGGAAGCCACTCCTCAGTAAAAGCACATGACAGCCCTCTTGGAGTTTGCCAAAAGGCACCTAAAGACTCTCAGACCATGAGAAACAAGATTCTCTGGTCTGATGAAACCAAGATTGAACTCTTTGGCCTGAATGCCAAGCATCACGTCTGGAGGAAACCTGGCACCATCCCTACAGTGAAACATGGTGGTGGCAGCATCATGCTGTGGGGATGTATTTCAGCGGCAGGGACTGGGAGACTAGTCAGGATCGAGGGAAAGTACAGAGAGATCCTTGATGAAAACCTGCTCCAGAGCGCTCAGGACCTCAGACTGGGGTGAAGGTTCACCTTCCAACAGGACAAGGACCCTAAGCACACAGCAAAGACAACACATGAGTGGCTTCGGGACAAGTCTCTGAATGTTCTTGAGTGGCCCAGCCAGAGCCCGGACTTGAACCCGATCTAATATCTCTGGAGAGACCTGAAAATAGCTGTGCAGCGACGCTCCCCATCCAACCTGACAGAGCATGAGAGGATCTGCAGAGGAGAATGGGAGAAACTCCCCAAATACAGATGTGCCAAGTTTGTAGCGTCATACCCAAGAAGACTCGAGGCTGTAATCACTGCTAAAGGTGCTTCAACTAAGTACTGAGTAAAGGGTCTGAATACTTATGTAAATGTGATATTTCCGGAGTTTTTTGTTTTGTCATTATGGGGTATTGTGTGTAGATTGATGAGAAAAACTATTTAATCCATTTTAGAATAAGGCTGTAACGTAACAACATTTGGAAAAAGTCAAAGGGTCTGAATACTTTCCGAATGCACTGTATCACATAGTAGGCTGAAATATGGTGCGTTTGGATATATGGTGCGTTTGGATATATGGTGCGTTTGGATATATGGTGCGTTGAGATATACAGTGAGGGAAAAAAGTATTTGATCCCCTGCTGATTTTGTACGTTTGCCCACTGACAAAGACATGATCAGTCTATAATTTTAATGGTAGGTTTATTTGAACAGTGAGAGACAGAATAACAACAAAAAAATCCTGAAAAACGCATGTCAAAAATGTTATAAAATGATTTGCATTTTAATGAGGGAAATAAGTATTTGACCCCTCTGCAAAACATGACTTAGTACTTGGTGGCAAAACCCTTGTTGGCAATCACAGAGGTCAGACGTTTCTTGTAGTTGGCCACCAGGTTTGCACACATCTCAGGTGGGATTTTGTCCCTCTCCTCTTTGCAGATCTTCTCCTAGTCATTGAGGTTTCGAGCCTGACGTTTGGCAACTCGAACCTTCAGCACCCTCCACAGATTTTCTGGCTAGGCCACTCCAGGACCTTAATGTGCTTCTTCTTGAGCCACTCCTTTGTTGCCTTGGCCGTGTGTTTTGGGTCATTGTCATGCTGGAATACCCATCCACGACCCATTTTCAATGCCCTGGCTGAGGGAAGGAGGTTCTCACCCAAGATTTGACAGTACATGGCCCCGTCCATCGCCCCTTTGATGCGGTGAAGTTGTCCTGTCCCCTTAGCAGAAAAACACCCCCAAAGCATAATGTTTCCACCTCCATGTTTGACGGTGGGGATGGTGTTCTTGGGGTCATAGGTCTCATCTGACCACAACACTTTCACCCAGTTCTCCTCTGAATCATTCAGATGTTCATTGGCAAACTTCAGACGGGCCTGTATATGTGCTTTCTTGAGCAGGGGGACCTTGCGGACGCTGCAGGATTTCAGTCCTTCACGGCGTAGTGTGTTACCAATTGTTTTCTTAGTGACTATGGTCCCAGCTGCCTTGAGATCATTGACAAGATCCTCCCGTGTAGTTCTGGGCTGATTCCTCACCGTTCTCATGATCATTGCAACTCCACGAGGTGAGATCTTGCATGGAGCCCCAGGCCGAGGGAGATTGACAGTTCTTTTGTGTTTCTTCCATTTGTGAATAATAGCACCAACTGTTGTCACCTTCTCACCAAGCTGCTTGGCGATGGTCTTGTAGCCCATTCCAGCCTTGTGTAGGTCTACAATCTTGTCCCTGACATCATTGGAGAGCTCTTTGGTCTTGGCCATGGTGGAGAGTTTGGAATCTGATTGATTGATTGCTTCTGTGGACACATGTCTTTTATACAGGTAACAAACTGAGATTAGGAGCACTCCCTTTAAGAGTGTGCTCCTAATCTCAGCTCGTTATCTGTATAAAATACACCTGGGAGCCAGAAATCTTTCTGATTGAGAGGGGGTCAAATACTTATTTCCCTCATTAAAATGCAAATCAATTTATAACATTTTTGACATGCTTTTTTCTGGATTTCTTTGTTGTTATTCTGTCTCTCACTGTTCAAATAAACCTACCATTAAAATTATAGACTGATCATTTCTTTGTCAGTGGGCAAACGTACAAAATCAGCAGGGGATCAAATACTTTTTCCCCTCACTGTATGGCGCGATTGGATATATGGTGCGTTGGGATATATGGTTGCTATGCTATCTGGTAACAAGTATTCGTTGTTATGTAACAAGTGTTGAATTCCATGTTGTATACAGTGGGGAAAAAAGTATTTAGTCAGCCACCAATTGTGCAAGTTCTCCCACTTAAAAAGATGAGAGAAGCCTGTAATTTTCATCATAGGTACATGTCAACTATGACAGACAAAATGAGAAGAAAAAAATCCAGAAAATCACATTGTAGGATTTTTAATGAATTTATTTGCAGATTATGGTGGAAAATAAGTATTTGGTCAATAACAAAAGTTTCTCAATACTTTGTTATATACCCTTTGTTGGCAATGATACAGGTCAAACGTTTTCTGTAAGTCTTCACAAGGTTTTCACACACTGTTGCTGGTATTTTGGCCCATTCCTCCATGCAGATCTCCTCTAGAGCAGTGATGTTTTGGGGCTGTCGCTGGGCAACACGGACTTTCAACTCCCTGCAAAGATTTTCTATGGGGTTGAGATCTGGAGACTGGCTAGGCCACTCCAGGACCTTGAAATGCTTCTTACGAAGCCACTCCTTCGTTGCCCGGGCGGTGTGTTTGGGATCATTGTCATGCTGAAAGACCCAGCCATGTTTCATCTTCAATGCCCTTGCTGATGGAAGGAGGTTTTCACTCAAAATCTCACGATACATGGCCCCATTCATTCTTTCCTTTACACGGATCAGTCGTCCTGGTCCCTTTGCAGAAAAACAGCCCCAAAGCATGATGTTTCCACCCCCATGCTTCACAGTAGGTATGGTGTTCTTTGGATGCAACTCAGCATTCTGGCACTGCAGGATTTGAGTCCCTGGCGGCGTAGTGTGTTACTGATGGTAGGCTTTGTTACTTTGGTCCCAGCTCTCTGCAGGTCATTCACTAGGTCCCCCCGTGTGGTTCTTGGATTTTTGCTCACCGTTCTTGTGATCATTTTGACCCCACGGGGTGAGATCTTGCGTGGAGCCCCAGATCGAGGGAGATTATCAGTGGTCTTGTACAGTGGGGAGAACAAGTATTTGATACACTGCTGATTTTGCAGGTTTTCCTACTTACAAAGCATGTAGAGGTCTGTCATTTTTATCATAGGTACACTTCAACTGTGAGAGACGGAATCTAAAACAAAAATCCAGAAATTCACATTGTATGATTTTTAAGTAATTAATTTGCATTTTATTGCATGACATAAGTATTTGATACATCAGAAAAGCAGAACTTAATATTTGGTACAGAAACCTTTGTTTGCAATTACAGAGATCATACGTTTCCTGTAGGTCTTGACCAGGTTTGCACACACTGCAGCAGGGATTTTTGCCCACTCCTCCATACAGACCTTCTTCAGATCCTTCAGGTTTCGGGGCTGTCGCTGGGCAATACGGACTTTCAGCTCCCTCCAAAGATTTTCTATTGGGTTCAGGTCTGGAGACTGGCTAGGCCACTCCAGGACCTTGAGATGCTTCTTACGGAGCCACTCCTTAGTTGCCCTGGCTGTGTGTTTCGGGTCGTTGTCATGCTGGTAGACCCAGCCACGACCCATCTTCAATGATCTTACTGAGGGAAGGTACATGGCCCCATCAGTCGTCCTGTCCCCTTTGCAGAAAAGCATCCCCAAAGAATGATGTTTCCACCTCCATGCTTCATGGTTGGGATGGTGTTCTTGGGGTTGTACTCATCCTTCTTCTTCCTCCAAACATGGCGAGTGGAGTTTAGACCAAAAAGCTATATTTTTGTCTCATCAGACCACATTACCTTCTCCCATTCCTCCTCTGGATCATCCAGATGGTCATTGGCAAACTTCAGACGGGCCTGGACATGCGCTGGCTTGAGCAGGGGGACCTTGCGTGCGCTGCAGGATTTTAATCCATGACGGCGTAGTGTATTACTAATGGTTTTCTTTGAGACTGTGGTCCCAGCTCTCTTCAGGTCATTGACCAGGTCCTGCCGTGTAGTTCTGGGCTGATCCCTCACCTTCCTCATGATCATTGATGCCCCACGAGGTGAGATCTTGCATGGAGCCCCAGACCGAGGTTGATTGACCGTCATCTTGAACTTCTTCCATTTTCTAATAATTGCGCCAACAGTTGTTGCCTTCTCACCAAGCTGCTTGCCTATTGTCCTGTAGCCCATCCCAGCCTTGTGCAGGTCTACAATTGTATCCCTGATGTCCTTACACAGCTCTCTGGTCTTGGCCATTGTGGAGAGGTTGGAGTCTGTTTGATTGAGTGTGTGGACAGGTGTCTTTTATACAGGTAACGAGTTCAAACAGGTGCATTTAATACATGTAATGAGTGGAGAACAGGAGGGCTTCTTAAAAGAAAAACTAACAGGTCTGTGAGAGCCGGAATTCTTACTGGTTGGTAGGTGATCAAATACTTATGTCATGCAATAAAATGCAAATTAATTACTTAAAAATCATACAATGTGATTCTCTGGATTTTAGATTCCGTCTCTCACAGTTGAAGTGTACCTATGATAAAAATTACAGACCTCTACATGCTTTGTAAGTAGGAAAACCTGCAAAATCGGCAGTGTATCAAATACTTGTTCTCCCCACTGTATGTCTTCCATTTCCTAATAATTGCTCCCACAGTTGATTTCTTCAAACCAAGCTGCTTACCTATTGCAGATTCAGTCTTCCCAGCCTGGTGCAGGTCTACAATTTTGTTTCTGGTGTCCTTTGACAGCTCTTTGGTCTTGGCCATAGTGGAGTTTGGAGTGTGACTGTTTGAGGTTGTGGACAGGTGTCTTTTATACTGATAACAAGTTCAAACAGGTGCCATTAATACAGGTAACGAGTGGAGGACAGAGGAGCCTCTTAAAGAAGAAGTTACAGGTCTGTGAGAGCCAGAAATCTTGCTTGTTTGTAGGTGACCAAATACTTATTTTCCACCATAATTTGCAAATAAATTCATTAAAAATCCTACAATGTGATTTTCTGGATTTTTTTTCAATTTGTCTGTCATTGTTGACGTGTACCTATGATGAAAATTACAGGCCTCTCTCATCTTTTTAAGTGGGAGAACTTGCACAATTGGTGGCTGACTAAATACTTTTTTTCCCCCACTGTACATTACATTTGTCATTTAGCAGACGCTCTTATCCAGAGCGACTTACAGTTAGATACGGTGTGGGTACGCTGTGGGGGGTAGGCTATTCTACATGATGAGATGATCATGGATAAGAGTGAGAATATTAGTATTTGTCAAACGGAAGTCAAGCGTCGATCATCACGTTACCAGAATAAGACCCTCAATATTTATTGTAAAAGAGCATGGTTATTAAATCAACATTTGCGCATAAATGCGTTTCCTCCACCATTTCTTGCATAATTAATTTTACTGACACCAAAAGATCCCACTGTGTCAAACCTACAAATGATCTGTTGGCATTTATAAAATTGTACCCGAAACGACCTGTTTCTATCACAGCTGTCGTAATTCTTTTGATACGGTATAACCTATAAAATCAGTCACAGGGTGCATCCAAAATGGCACCCTATTCCCTATATAGTGCACTACTCCCATATGGGCCCTGATCAAAAGTAGTGCACTATGTAGGGAATAGAGTGCTATTTGGTATGCAGCGCCTAACAACCCCTCAAACGAACCATAGCTTCAACAGAAAGCTGAGGAAGGTCTGCTGTCATTCACGTAGCTCTGGTCCAGGGCGTTACGTCACTACTCCACCACGTAGTGGAGGAACACGCACTAACGCCCTGGACCAGAGCTATCCTTCATCCATCCAGGTCCACAATACAACACAGATTCATAATGACTTATTCGACAAGGTCAGGTGGTCCCTTCTCCGTTTCAGTTAGTTTTCTTCCGTTTGGTGCCTAATGAATGTGACCCAGGACCAAACGTTGTGGAAAGTAGAACATGGCATGAATAGAGCCGATGTGATTCCTTGTTCTGAACGTCAGAGAGAGACGTGTTCGTTCTACATATTTCTATCCGAGCGCTCTAGAACGTTGCGCCCTGCTGAACGCGTCCCCAGGTGAAGTTATCCACACCTTAGTCCTGGCTACAATCTTTAGACAGGTGAAGTCCAGGCTACAATCTTTAGACAGGTGAAGTCCAGGCTACAATCTTAAGACAGGTTCTGGCATTGATGACTCAGTATTGACATACCTTCCTTGAACTCAAACAGTAGAGCAGATTGATGAAGGCGAAGGCTCCTATCGATCACCAGAGGGTTATTCATTAGTAACACAGGCTCCTATCGATCACCAGAGGGTTATTCATTAGTAACACAGGCTCCTATCGATCACCAGAGGGTTATTCATTAGTGCAAACCATAGCAAACAAAAACAAGAGTTTCTATTGGACAAAATTCAGGCAGTCCCTCCCTGTTTGCTTCCGTTTGGTTCGTAGTGAATAAACCCCAGATTAAATGTAAATGCAACGCTAATCCAGGTTACGTAACATTATAACAAGGTGTTATAAGCAGATGTTATAGCCAGGTATTACTCAGTATTTATGCCTAAATTATAATACATAAAGGAATGGTTTCCCAGTCACAGATTAAGCCTATTGGGCTTGCTTTTTAATCCAGGCTTAATCTGTGTCTGGTAAACCAACCAAAAGTCTCCCAGACACTAACCCAAAATCAATGTTGTAAGCCATAGCAGCAGTAACAGACAGTTACGGCAGGTAGCTTAGTGGTTAAGAGCGTTGTGCCAGTAACCGAAAGGTCGCTGGTACTAATCCCCGAGCCGACTAGGTGAAAAATCTGTCGATGTGCCCTCGAGCAAGGCACTTAACCCTGATTGCTCTGGATAAGAGCGTCTGCTAAATGACTAAATATGTAAATGTAATAAAACAGCAGTCACACAACACCGATTGGAACTGGATCAATCAAAAGCATTCAAATCATCAAGACAATGGAGAGAAGGTAGAAAGTGTTAGGTGAGAAGTCAGAGAGAAGGCTGTGATAGGTCCTTTAAAAACGGAGGGCTAGAGGTTACAGGTCAGAGTGATTGTACAAGCAGAGAGAGGGGTGTAGGGTGAAGACGCTGATCTCGGGTCGGTTTTGTATTTCCACCACTAAATGGTTAAGGTTAGGATTGGGGGAAGGGAAGCTAATCTGTACCTAGGGAAACTCCACCCCGGAGCGCAGAGTAGCAGTACCCCGCTGAAAGGTCTGGATGGTATACAGTAGAGGACCTGTGATCACCTAGGAGCCTGTGATCTTCAAGGCATTACTAGTCGATCACCAAACATTTCTGTAGAAAAGCCAATGATAAAGGCTTGAGCTCCTTTAATTTCTTTCTTTGTGTTGCCCTGTTGGCGGTAGGTGCACTTGGTCCAGAAGCCCTGGCACACCGGGGTAGGCAAAGTGTTCCCATTTTGGACCATTTCATGACTGAAAAGAAACTCCCCTTACTGGTGGACCGGGAGATCTGTTGCTAAATCGAGTGCGCCTACTGCGCTGGCCAATCGGATTGCTCAAATCACCGTGCCAACAGCTTCCACGACCCTGGCCACAACAAAGTTTGATACTAGCCTGTGACATTTCATAACTTTTAACACCTTGACCAGAGAGAAACTGTCAAAGAATACAGCAAAGAGCTGCTGTTTTTACGAGTGAGTTCATGTTAAAGTTTTTATTCAACACTGTTTTTATTCAACACTATTACAAAAACAGAAATTACACTTCTCCCTCTGTCCACACACACTGCAGCTGCAATGAATGAGTAGCCAAGTGTATCGATAGCCCTGCATCTTTATTATTATTAGCAGCTTGTCCTGTATATTTTAATATCGAGTAATATTTCACTTTCTCTGGTCGTAGGAACAACATGAATTTGTGGATGAGGCTGATGAGGTGCGGGTTGAGTTTCACCATCAGGTGGAAGACGGTGTCCCCATCTCTCTGTTCAGTCTCACCGGAGGAAAGGAAGGAGAGAGCAGGGACCGTGAGGAGGACCCTCTGCTGTTCTCTCCCTCCCTCCGCTGAGACTAATGCCGTGTTCAAAACAACTAGGAACTCGGAAATGTCCCACTTCAGTCTTCAGTGCATTTAAAAGACAACTGGGAAGAATCGTTTTGAACGGTCACCCAACTCGGAATTACAAATCTGAAACTCAGGCATCTTTCTAGCGCTTCACGACCTGAAGATCACGGATGTCATGATTTCACCTCGTCCCCCCCCCCAGAGTTCCCAGAGTTCCCAGCTGTCTTGAAAGCACCATGACCATCAGATGCAGGGACCATCAATCCAATAAAATAAAAAACCTAATAATTTTAAATTTATGCTCAACTGTGCCTCAGTCAGCAAGTGCTACACCAACTGAACTATTCTATTACCAAAGCTCGAGTTTTGAAATATAATATGGTCAGAGAACAGTATTGCCAGACCTGGCATTTGGCCAATATGCAGAGAAAATGTTATTAGGTTAATGTTACATTTTTTAAAAAATTATAATGTTAGGCGGTAGAGCTCAGCTTGCTTTTTTTGACTGCGAAAGTGTCCTTGACTCAGAAAAAGGTTGGTGACCACTGTGTCCTTGACTCAGAAAAGGTTGGTGACCACTGTGTCGTTGACTCAGAAAAGGTTGGTGACCACTGTGTCCTTGACTCAGAAAAGGTTGGTGACCACTGTGTCCTTGACTCAGAAAAGGTTGGTGACCACTGTGTCCTTGACTCAGAAAAGGTTGGTGACCACTGTGTCCTTGACTCAGAAAAGGTTGGTGACCACTGTGTCCTTGACTCAGAAAAAGGTTGGTGACCACTGTGTCCTTGACTCAGAAAAGGTTGGTGACCACTGTGTCCTTGACTCAGAAAAGGTTGGTGACCACTGTGTCCTTGACTCAGAAAAGGTTGGTGACCACTGTGTCCTTGACTCAGAAAAGGTTGGTGACCACTGTGTCCTTGACTCAGAAAAGGTTGGTGACCACTGTGTCCTTGACTCAGAAAAGGTTGATGACCACTGTGTCCTTGACTCAGAAAAGGTTGGTGACCACTGTGTCCTTGACTCAGAAAAGGTTGGTGACCACTGTGTCCTTGACTCAGAAAAGGTTGGTGACCACTGTGTCCTTGACTCAGAAAAGGTTGGTGACCACTGTGTCCTTGACTCAGAAAAGGTTGGTGACCACTGTGTCCTTGACTCAGAAAAGGTTGGTGACCACTGTGTCCTTGACTCAGAAAAGGTTGGTGACCACTGTGTCCTTGACTCAGAAAAGGTTGGTGACCACTGTGTCCTTGACTCAGAAAAAGGTTGGTGACCACTGTGTCCTTGACTCAGAAAAAGGTTGGTGACCACTGTGTCCTTGACTCAGAAAAGGTTGGTGACCACTGCATGAGGGCGGTCGGTAGCGAAACCAAGTTCAAGGTGGTCCCTCCGTTTCAGTCCGTTTTCCTCCATTTTGGTGCCTAATGAACACTGCTCTCTACGTGATTCCTGGAGCGTGTGACCGGGGACAAAAAGTAGTGCACTATATAGGGAACAGGGTGACATTTGGGACTCAGCCCCCACGCCGTCAGAACCTGGGTTGATAGAGAGCAACGCGGCCGCTGAGGCAGCCTGAGGCCAGCTGGCAGTGGGTCGGGGAGAACTTGGTGGTGAGGACCACGTCACTGTGGGAGTAGATGGACCGGACCTCCCGGAGACAGCTGGTCTGGACGGGCAGGCAGTCAGACAGCTCCATGCAGTTCTCATCGAAGGAGAGCAGCCGCACCCCGTACCTGTTGGGACAATACTTGGGAGTCATTACAAAAGCTGAAAACTGTGGCCCAATTCCAAATCGACCCCAATCCCTATACACTCGTGGATATCTGAGATTTTATAGGTGTAAGCAATATGAGAATAAGTCTACCAAGCCCTCTGATTGGCTAAGCAATATGAGAATAAGTCCACCTAGCCCTCTGATTGGCTAAGCAATATGAGAATAAGTCCACCTAGCCCTCTGATTGGCTAAGCAATATGAGAATAAGTCCACCTAGCCATCTGATTGGCTAAGCAATATGAGAATAAGTCCACCAAGCCCTCTGATTGGCTAGGTGGGTTTTACCATATCGCTATACTGAGTCTGTATCTTTAGGTTTCTTCTAAGCTCCAGTCTTCTGTTCAACCAAGAGTTCAACTGACATCATCTTCACTTTAACCCCATTATATAGCCATTCTAATAGCGTAAACGACCCATAATTGGACAGTAGTTGTCATAACACTCCATACCCGTAGGGGGAGCAGATGAGCCGCCCGTCAGGGCTGAAGCACAGCTCCTTGATGTAGCCCCTCCCCACATTGGCCTCCTCGATGTAGTGGGTCAGACGTAGAGAGCAGCGGGGGGAGACAGGGGGACGCGTGGGGGATCCATCCTGGAACTCATATACACACGTCCACTGGAGAGGAGAGAGAGAGGGGAGGGGGGGGGGGAGAGGAGAGAGGGGTGGGAGGGAGGGAGAGAAGAGAGAGAGGGGTGGGAGGGAGAGGAGAGAGGAGAGGAGAGGGGGGTGGAGGGAGAGTTGGGAGGGAGGGAGAGGAGAGAGAGGGGGAGGGATGGGAGGGAGGATGACGAGTGTGTGGGAGGGAGAGGATGAGAGAGAAATTGGGGGGGTCGTGGAGGAGGAGGGGTTGGGTGGAGCGGATGAGAGTAGAAGAGTTGGGAGGAGTGGGAGAGAAGAGGAGAAGGGGGGAGAGGGAGAGAGAGGGTGGGTGGGGGAGTGAATTGGGAGAGAGAGAGATGGGAGGGAGAGGAGAGGGGGGGGTGGGGGGAGGGAGAGGCAGAGGGGGGGGTGGCGAGGGAGAGGAGAGAGAGAGGGAGGGAGAGGAGAGAGAGCGGGGGTTGGGAGGGGAGAGGAGAGAGGAGAGTGGGGGAGAAGGGGAGGGAGGGAGAGAGAAGAGGGTAACCTGTTCATCTATGCTGACAGACAGGGCATTAGAAAAGCATGTCCAAGGGCAAACTCAAATGGACCCCTATGCACTCATCAGAAGATTTGATTGGTATAAGCAATAATGAAACGTCCACCTAGCCAATCAGAGGGCCAGGTGGAGCAACAGGGCCTTCAGAATGTATTCATACCCCGTGACTTATTACAGCCTGAATTCAAAATGGATTAAATATATTTTTCTCATTCATCTACACACAATACACCATTATGACAAAGTGAAAACATGTTTTTAGAAATTTTAGCACATTTATTGAAAATGAAATGAATAAATATCTAATTTACTTAAGTATTCACATCCCTCAGTCAATACTTTGTAGAAGCACCTTTGGCAGCGATTGCAGCTGTGAGTCTTTCTGGGTAAGTCTCTAAGAGCTTTCCACACCTGGATTGTGAAACATTTGCCCTTTATTCTTTTAAAGATTCTTCAAGCTCTGTCAAATTGGTTGTTGATCATTGCTAGACAACCAGTTTCATGTCTTGCTATAGATATTCAAGTATATGGAGAGTGGTACTCAGTGATGTGTGGTATTGGATTTGCCCCAAATATAACACTTTGTATTCAGGACCAAAAGTTAATTGATTTGCCAAATGTTTTGCAGAATTACTTTAGTGCCTTGTCACAAACAGGATGCATGTTTTGGAATATTTGTATTATGTACAGGCTTCCGTCTTTTCACTCTACAATGTCGTTGATCCATCCTCAGAAGGTGTCCTTCTTTGCGAGGCATTGGAAAACCTCCTTAGTCTTTGTGGTTGAATCTGTGTTTGAAATTCACTGCTCGACTGAGGGACCTTTTCAGATAATTGTATGTGTGGGGTACAGAGATGAGGTAGTCACGGTGCTTATCTTGTAAATCGGGAAGTTCCCGGAACAAAAAGTGAGCGCTAGAGGTGAGTTCTGAGGTTCCGGAACGCATGAGGTAAGAACTCACCTTTATAATAAAGCACTGCATGCATATCATCGCATTTGCGTAGTAATGTTGGCCTTTTCCTAAACGGATTTCATGCAATTCTACGTCATTTTACATGAATCTTTTTTAATACCGCATAAATGATCGAAATGGCAGGCTACTTTGACACGGACAAAACTGAGAATTAGAGACCGATAAAAATGACCTTGTCTTGAATCCATCAATAGCCTAGGCGAAGGCTACAATATGAGGAAATTAGTCCTAAAAATGCTTTCTAGTATCACTGACTCACTCGCTGGTGATTGTCGATGCGCTCGTGCCAAAAGCCTCTCTCTCTCTCTCCTTTTTTTGTAAAACAATATTTGGAAGTCGATCAAATATTTTGGTAGCCTACAGCATAGAGTCTTCTCTTTTCAGCAGGAGCCATTTGCTTTCCAACCTGCGTTTTCCCTCGATTGTACATGAAATATTGTGAATATTGTTTTGTCGGCATGCTGTTTTTTCACTGACAGATTTGCCGCGTGTTCCCGACTGTAGACTATTCCTTGTTATTGGGCTACGATCCACAGCTAGGCTATTTGTTTAAATAAGCTATTGATCCTCTGTAGCTAAATTATAGATTATTATATTATATATTATCTCATGGTGTAGTGGGCTATTCTGAATGATTTCACTTATTTCTGAACAGACAGCAGTAATTCTATAACTTTTGCAAATGTATTTCAATTTATCATGCAGTTCCTCCGGCTATGATTCTGTAAGGAAATAAATGATGAAGCGCAACGCTGGAGAGATGAGAGGAGCAGGCTGATTTGTATCAGAGCAGAGAAAGTGAATCTCATTCTAGTTCTGAGAGAGATCCTGGCTTCTCACAGCCCTGGTCACCCGTTGGTCTCACACAGGTTACAATGTTGCGCAAACCATAAACCCGGGCCGGCCCAACCCAAATCAACTCTTAGAATATTAGGCCCGGGCTGAAAATCTTATTTTTCACATTAAGTTTTTTTGTTGGGGGCAGGAGAATTAACGAAGGAGGCAACTCAAATCAACTTTGATCGCTTTTATCAAATTAAACACTAGGTAGTCATAAAAATTATCATGTTAAACACTATTATTGCACACAGAGTGAGTCCATGCAACTTATTATGTGACAGGTTAAGGACATTTTTACTCCTGAACTTATTTATGCTATCCATAACAAAGGAGTTAACACTTATTGACTCAAAACATTTCATATTTTCATGTAAGGGATAATCAACGAGGGTAGGCTGGACACATGAAAGAACACCATCCCAACCGTGAAGCACAGCATCATGCTGTGGGGGTGCTTTGCTGCAGGAGGGACTGGTGCACTTCACAAAATAGATGGCATCATGAGGAAGGAAAATTATGTGGATATATTGAAGCAACATCTCAAGACATTAGTCAGGAAGTTAAAGCTTGGTCGCAAAATGGGTCTTCCAAATGGACAAGCATACTTCAAAAGTTGTGGCAAAATGGCTTAAGGACAACAAAGTCAAGGTATTGGAGTGGCCATCACAACGCCCTGACCTCAATCCTATAGAAAATGTGTGGGCAGAACTGAAAAAGCGTGTGCGAGCAAGGAGGTCTACAAACCTGACTCAGTTACACCAGCTCTGTCAGGAGGAATGGGCCAAAATTCACCCAACTTATTGTGGGAAGCTTGTGGAAGGCTACCCAAAATGTTTGACCCAAGTTAAACAATTTAAAGGCAATGATACCAAATACTAATTGAGTGAATGTAAACTTCTGACCCACTGGGAACAGTCAAAACTGTTCGCTGCTCTGGCACCCCAATGGTGGAACAAGCTTCCTCACGACGCCAGGACAGCGGAGTCACTCACCACCTTCCGGAGACATTTGAAACCCCACCTCTTTAAGGAATACCTGGGATAGGATAAAGTAATCCTTCTACCCCCCCCCCCCCAAAAAAAAAATAATAAATGTTTTTGTAAAGTTGTTATCCCACTGGCTATAGGGTGAATGCACCAATTTGTAAGTCGCTCTGGACGCCAGGGTTGTGGGTTCGATTCCCACGGGGGGCCAGTATAAAAAATATGTATTCACTAACTGTAAGTCGCTCTGGATAAGAGCGTCTAAAATGTAAATGTAATAAGAGCGTCTGCTAAATGACGTAAATGTAAATAAAAGCTGAAATAAATAATTCTCTCTACTATTATTCTGACATTTCACATTCATAATGTGGTGATCCTAACTGACCTAAGACAGGGAATTTTTACTAGGATTAAATGTCAGGAATTGTGAAAAACTGAGTTTAAATGTATTTGGCTAAGGTGTATGTAAACTTCTGACTTCAACTGTGTGTGTGTGTGTGTATATATATATATATATATATATATATACACACACACACACACAGTGGCTTGCGAAAGTATTCACCCCCCTTGGCAGTTTTCCTATTTTGTTGCCTTACAACCTGGAATTAAAATTGATTTTTTGGGGGTTTGTATCATTTGATTTACACAACATGCCTACCACTTTGAAAATGCAAAATATGTTTTATTGCGAAACAAACAAGAAATAAAACAAAAAAACTGAGAACTTGAGTGTGCATAACTATTCACCCCCCCAAAGTCAATACTTTGTAGAGCCACATTTTGCAGCAATTACAGCTGCAAGTCTCTTGGGGTATGTCTCTATAAGCTTGGCACATCTAGCCACTGGGATTTTTGCCCATTCTTCAAGGCAAACCTGCTCCAGCTCCTTCAAGTTGGATGGGTTCCGCTGGTGTACAGCAATCTTTAAGTCATACCACATATTCTCAATTGGATTGAGGTCTGGGCTTTGACTAGGCCATTCCAAGACATTTAAATGTTTCCCCTTAAACCACTTGTGTGTTGCTTTATCAGTATGCTTAGGGTCATTGTCCTGCTGGAAGGTGAACCTCCGTCCCAGTCTCAAATCTCTAGAAGACTGAAACAGGTTTCCCTCAAGAATTTCCCTGTATTTAGCACCATCCATCATTCCTTCAATTCTGACCAGTTTCCCAGTCCCTGCCAATGAAAAACATCCCCACAGCATGATGCTGCCACTACCATGCTTCACTGTGCGGATGGTGTTCTAGGGTGATGAGAGGTGTTGGGTTTGTGCCAGACATAGCGTTTTCCTTGATTGCTAAAAAGCTCAATTTTAGTCTCATCTGACCAGAGTACCTTCTTCCATATGCTTGGGGAATCTCCCACATGGCTTTTGGCGAACACCAAACGTGTTTGCTTATTTTTTTCTTTAAGCAATGGCTTTTTTCTGGCCACTCTTCCATAAAGCCCAGCTCTGTGGAGTGTGCGGCTTAAAGTGGTCCTATGGACAGATACTCCAATCTCCGCTGTGTTGCAGCTCCTTCAGGGTTATCTTTGGTCTCTTTGTTGCCTCTCTGATTAATGCTCTCCTTGCCTGGTCCGTGAGTTTTGGTGGGCGTCCCTCTCTTGGCAGGGTTGTTCTGGTGCCATATTCTTTCAATTTTTTTTTATAATGGATTTAATGGTGCTCCGTGGGATATTTTTTTATAACCCAACCCTGATCTGTACTTCTCCACAACTTTGTCCCTGACCTGTTTGGAGAGCTCCTTGGTCTTCATGGTGCTGCTTGCTTGGTGGTGCCTCTTGCTTAGTGGTGTTGTAGACTCTGGGGCCTTTCAGAACAGGTGTATATACACTGAGGTCATGTGACACTTAAGTTTTTGAAACAAGTTACTTTTTTCCCATTTCACTTCACCAATTTGGACTATTTTGTGTATGTCCATTACATGAAATCCAAATAAAAATCCATTTAAAGTACAGGTTGTAATGCAACAAAATAGGAAAAACGCCAAGGGGGAATGAGTACTTTTGCAAGGCACTGTATCTCTCGAATTAAACCTGTGTTGCTTTTGGGAGAGCAAAAAAATTAAACTATAGCCGGATCTAGTCAGATTCGCTAACCTCAACTCTAGTATACATGCATTATATAGTCATCTTAATATCTCATTGACAGAAAAGACAAAAAGACTGCAGCTTCAGCCCGCCAATAAATTACATTGTGTAACCCCCGCAGTTAGCAAATGTACCTCAACATGACCTTTGCTTGCGCGATAAGGCAGAGTGCACGCTAACGGGCTTGTCGAGTTGGCTACTTGTGCGAGAAGGCAGAGCGGCTCGATGCTGGCTGACGAATTTGACAATGAATGTACTAGGAAAATAAGTTTCTCCACCAGGGGGTCTCTATCCAGGGGGAAAATTGATCTTCATTCTCACTGCTGCCATCTATTGGAATTATTTAGCAGTTGAAATAATAATGTTGAAGCCATGTATCGATCTGACAATCAGTTTCTATACCTAAGGTTACTGAATATAGTGTATATCCTTTAAAAACATTTTTTAATTTAACCTTTATTTAACCAGGTGCAAATGAGCTAAATAAAAAACAATATGGGGATGAGGTAGTTGGGTGGGCTAATTTCAGAAAGGCTGTGTACAGGTGCAGTGATCGGTAAGGTGCTCTGACAACTGATGTTTAAAGTTAGTGAGGGAGATAAGAGTCTCCAGCTTCAGAGATTTTTGCAGTTCGTTCCAGTCATTGGCAGCAGAGAACTGGAAGGAATGGCGGCCAAAGGAGGTGTTGGCTTTGGGGATGACCAGTGAGATATACCTGCTGGAGCGCAGACTACGGGTGGGTGTTGCTATGGTGACCAATGAGCTAAGATAAGGCAGGGATTTGCCTAGCAGAGATTTATAGATGACCTGGAGCCAGTGGGATTGGCGACAAATATGTAGTGAGGGCCAGCCAACAAGAGCGTACAGGTCACAGTGGTGGGTAGTGTATGAGGCTTTGGTGACAAAACGGATGGCACTGTGATAGACTACATCCAATTTGCTGAGTAGAGTGTTGGAGGCTATTTTGTAAATGACATCGCCGAAGTCAAGGATCGGTAGGATAGTCAGTTTTACGAGGGCATGTTTGGCAGCATGAGTGAAGGAGGCTTTGTTGCGAAATAGGAAGCCGATTCTAGATTTAACTTGGGATTGGAGATGCTTAATGTGAGTCTGGAAGGAGAGTTTACGGTCTAACCAGACACTTAGGTATTTGTAGTTGTCCACATATTCTAAGTCAGACCCGTCGAGAGCAGTGATTCTAGTCGGGTGGGCGGGTGCCAGCAGCGTTCGTTTGAAGAGCATGCATTTAGTTTTACTAGCGTTTAAGAGCAGTTGGAGGCTACTGAAGGAGTGTTGTATGGCGTTGAAGCTCGTTTGGAGGTTTGTTAACACAGTGTCCTTACTAATATTACAATATTTGTTAGTTAATTCTATCACTTAAAACCATAAAATAGCCATTTACAGCATAACAATGAACAATGCAACAATGGTCCATATACCCTTAAACCAAACACACCATTCATTTAGTTAAAAAAATTTTTTTTTAAACTTTCTTAAGATCGGTAACATTATCTGCCAGTCACACCCCCTTTTAAAGCACCAATCAGCAGTTGAAACAATAACAAAGTGGCCTCCCACTGTTTTGGTAAAAAAAGCTGGGATGTGGCTGGAGAAATGAAGCCACTAAAATGTATAGACAAGAGTTATTTTATTTAGCAAACATTATTATCCAGAGCAACTTACAGGAGCAATTGGGTTAAGTATGAAAATGTATGCACTCACTAACTGTAAGTCGCTCTGGATAAGAGCGTCTGCTAAATGACTAAAATGTAAAGTGCCTTGCTCAAGGGCACACCGACATAATTTTACAGTCGGCTCAGGGATTCGAACCAGCGACCTTTGGGCTACTGCTCCAACGCTCTTAACCGCTAAGCTACCGGTCTCCTGCTAGATAAGTTATGGATGGAAGGACTGACCATCCTTGGTACAAAAATTATAGTTTTAACCATGTTTTGATGCTTTAGTGTGTTTTTTTTTAACAAGGAAGCTGGTTAAATAAAATACTGCACTTTTTAGACATTCCTACTTCCAACATAACGGCAATGTCTGTATTTCTCCAAATAACTCCAAATGGATGTATTTTGATGTTTTGAAGTTCTACACCATTTCATTCAGGATAATCTATTATTTCTAATTATGTAAATGTGGGTAGCATAGTATGCTGTGATCAATTGCTGGTAGTTCAAACTTCAAAATTATATTTTTACTCCTGGAACTCTGAGGTCGTCCCATTGTTTCCTACAGGGGGAATAGGGGTATGTCTGTCTATTTCGCCAAATCTCTCACAATGTGTATATTTGCATTATTTCAAGTCGGACACCATTTTAAAAATCAGGAGAATATCCTCGGTTGTCATCGATCACTAGACCAGCAATAGTCAGAAGTTTTCATTTTGTCCCTACTTCCTCATTACGCAGACATAAACACAGTTGACACCGTCGAGGTGCGGATGTTTATTTTCTACACAAGTTGTTTTTCCCCCAGTTTCGTCCCAACTACAGATTGTAGTGGTAAAACAAAAAGGGAGACATTTTTTTGTGCCTTTTAGGCAAAATGGAATTCTAAGCATCACTCCAGTCAGAAGAGGCTCTGCGAAGGTTCGTTTCAATTCATTCGCTAGTTATCCAGCTTAACCAACGTTATTTTGCCGTTTTTCAGCCTTGGGTGAATTTTGACTCGTTCTATTGCCCAGCCTAACGAGGGGTTATGCGTTCTATGGAAAATGATGAACGACTGGAAAATCCCATGGAGTTGCATTATTTTCCAGAGAATGCATAGAGCCCCGAGTTGATCATCCATGGCTCTAATTTAACACATTTATACCTCTAGAAATATGTTCATTTGCTGGTAGAAATGTGTTCAACATCCACTGAAGTAGCTAGCAGGTTTACAAGATACAATAGTTGCCGTGGTAACCAAACAAACAGACCTGCTAGTTTAGCTAACCAAACCGCCAGTCCTAGCTTGCCATTATGAAAATCCAATTCAACAACGCCAAATGTTTTCAAATTCGACTTTTGCTTTCAAAAGCAGCTCAAACAGAACATGTAAGAATGAACTACAGCCATTGAATTCTACTGTGTTGATATACCGTGTGTTACAGGGAAATAATGCACGCTCTAGAATGCCCTTCATGCCAATCAGAAACAAGTATTCAACAATGCCAAAGTATAATTTTAATTTGACATTATCGGGTATTGTGTGTAGACCAGTGACAAAAAATCTCAACTTCATCAATTTTAAATTCAGGCTGTAACACAAAAAAACACTTTGGCGTTATGTTAAAGGAGAACCATGAGGTAGATGTCAGGGTGCTGTGTGTAGATGTCGTGGGGTTGTGTGTAGATGTCGGGGCGGTTTGGCTGTGTGTAGATGGTCTGGGGTTGGTGTAGATGGTCGGGTGGGGAGTGCTGTGTTAATGCGGCGGGGGGCGTGTGTGAGATGTTGCGTGTGGATTCGGGGGCGTTGTAGAGGTCGGTAGAGTCGGGGGTGTGTGTAGATGTCGGGGGTTGTGTGTAGATGTCGGGGTTGCTGTGTGTTTCGGGGTGCGGTAGATGTCGGGGTGGGGTGTAGTGCGGGGGGTGTGTAGTGTGGGGGGTTGTGTGTAGATGTCGGGGGGGTGTGTGTGTAGATGTCGGGGTGGTGTGGTAGATGTGGTGGAGTGGGGTGTGGTAGTGGGGGGGGGAGGGGGGGTGTGTGTGTAGATGTCGGGGGGGGTGTGGTAGATGTCGGGGGGTGTGTGTAGATGTCGGGGGGGGTGTGGTAGATGTGGGGGGTGCTGTGTGTAGATGTCGGGGGGTGTGTGAGGGGGTGGGTGAGATCGGGTCGTTGGTCGGGGTGCTGTGTGGTAGATGTGGGGGGTGTGTGTGGTAGAGGGGGTGTTGGATGGGGGTGTGTGTGTAGATGTCGGGGTGCTGTGTGTAGATGTCGGGGGTGGTGTAGATGTCGGGGTGCGTGTAGATGTCGGGGTGCGGTTGTGGGTAGATGGGGGGGTGTGGTGTGTAGATGTGCGGGGTGCTGTGTGTAGATGTCGGGGGTGTGTGTAGATGTCGGGGTGGTTGTGTGTAGATGTCGGGGTTGTGTGTATGTCGGGGGTTGTGTTAGATGTCGGGGTGCTGTGTGTAGATGTCGGGGTGCTGTGTGTAGATGTCGGGGGGTTGTGTGTAGATGTCGGGGTGCTGTGTGTAGATGTCGGGGTGCTGTGTGTAGATGTCGGGGTGCTGTGTGTAGATGTCGGGGTGCTGTGTGGTGAAAGTTACCTCCTGGGGGTTTTGGGGGGTCAGGTGACTCACCTCCTGGTCATCCATGTTGGAGGAGCACCGGATGAGGGCGGCCCATCCTTTAGGGTGAAGCTGGAGAGAGGTGATGCAGTTTCCCCGGTCCCTCTCTCCTGGGATCTCTGGAGTCAACACCTCTAAACTGTTCCTGGGGGAGAGACCTGGGAGAGGGAGAGGGCAGCAACATGAAGTCAACCCTAGGGCTGGCACAATGACCTTCAAACCGTGTACGTCTAACCGACAATTATGAAAATAAAATAATCATCATAACCGTAAAAAACTAAAACACCTGTTCTATTCATTCTATTTCTATGGCAGCACACGCAGTCAGGAGCGGAGGAGAGGAGAAAATGGGCATTAAAAAAACACTAATAATTCCAACGGTTATTACTGTGACCGTGGTCATTTGGCTGGCTAATTACAGTCATCCACAGCCTTAGTCAACACATAACATAGACGGGGGAAGCAACACAGCACACCGACAGTCAACACAACAAAACTCAGTCAACTAAACACAACAACAGCCAACACAACACCGACAGTCAACTAAACACACCGACAGTCAACACAACACACTGACAGTCAACACAACACAGACAGTCAACACAACACACAGACAGTCAACACAACACAGACAGTCAACACAACACACTGACAGTCAACACAACACACTGACAGTCAACACAACACACTGACAGTCAACACAACACAGACAGTCAACACAACACACTGACAGTCAACACAACACACCGACAGTCAACACAACACACCGACAGTCAACACAACACACCGACAGTCAACACAACACACTCACAGCCAACACAACACACTGACAGTCAACACAACACACCGACAGTCAACACAACACACCGACAGTCAACACAACACACCGACAGTCAACACAACACACCGACAGTCAACACAACACACCGACAGTCAACACAACACACCGACAGTCAACACAACACACCGACAGCCAACTAGGGCTGACCCCATTTAGTCGACTCGTCGATTGTTTGGTCGATAGGCTGTTGGTCGACAGATTTCTTTAGTCGAGCAGTCGCAATTACTAGAATGATTTTTCATGGCGCTCAAGACACCAGTTTGATTGGCTCCTGTCTCAGTGGACTGATCCATTGGGAGGCCACAGGAACGGCACAGTCCATCACTCAAAAGACACGTGATACTGAAATTGTATACGGTTATATTACGTAATAACAAAATGGTGCAACACTAATAAATCTAATATTATTTTATAACAAATGCGCCTTCTCCCGCGTTGGATACGGTCGCTGTCCGCGGCTCTGAAACATAATCTTCAGTGCGCCGTAGAATTGGCTCCTTTCCCCATGTTGCTATGTGCATAACAGCAAAGGTTGGGACACCAGCATATTGGGATTGAGAACTAAAGCGGGAGGCAGGAGACGAGGAAACAGCCCTTATTGTCTAAGAACATTGAGGAGAGCAGAAACCCCAATTTAATTAGGTCTGTAATCAACAGCCTAACTGTTAAACTGTCCGGGCTTTATAAATCCTCCATATCTACAGAAATAAGACCGATCCGCTTCTGCTGCCTGTTTGACTGTTTATTTAAATAGCCTACGGATTCCGTGAGCACCAAGCAACGGCAAAATGTCGGATAAAGCAATTTCACAAATTCTGCTGTTTTTAATATTTGCTATGCCGTAATAAAACCTTTTTCTTCGTTAGAACAGGATGGTATGACTTATAATTTATTTAAGGTTGTTTACACTGTTCCAAACAGGCAGAAAAATTATATTCTAATCTAACAGCACCTGTTTGTCACACATAATATGGGAGAATCAATGTAGTCGGAGCCATATTCCACAAACCTGGTCTCCGCTCCACTCCGTGGGTGGAGTTCATTAGAAAGTTCCTTCACCGTGGAGTGGAGTTTATTCAGCTACCTAATAGCTTGTGTTTGAATGGTTGTTTTCCAATAGACTTGTAATGTCTAAAGTAAGCCTAATATTCCTCAGACTGACCTTCTCTGTGAGGGTGGATCTTGCTGGAGTCGTTCCCCTGTCGAGGAGCCCCACTTGACCTCGAAGCAGACGCTGAACCATCTAGAGACAGATTCACATTAATCACCTGGGCTGAGAGGGCTGAGGGGGGGGTGAGGATGGGGGAGAGGGGGGTAATGCCATGACAGGGTCTCACCTGGGCTGAGGGGGGGGGGGGGTGAGGATGGGGGAGAGGGGGGTGATGCAGTGACAGTGTCTCACCTGGGCTGAGGGGGGTGAGGATGGGGGAGAGGGGGGTGATGCAGTGACAGGGTCTCACCTGGGCTGAGGGGGGGGTGAGGATGGATGAGGGCGGCAGGTAGCTTAGTGGGTAAGAGCGTTGTGGCCAGTAACCGAAAGGTCGCTGGTTCTAATCCCCGAGCCGACTAGGTGAAAAATCTGTCGATGTGCCCTTAAGCAAGGCACTTAACCCTAATTGCTCCTGTAAGTCGCTCTGGATAAGAGCGTCTGCTAAATGACTAAAATGAAATGAAAATGAAATGATGGGGGAGAGGGGGGTGATGCAGTGACAGGGTCTCACCTGGGCTGAGGGGGGTGCGTCTGGCCCGCAGCATCCGGTAGCTGCCGACCTCCAGAGACTGTGTGAGGTCCAGGTCATGGAGGATCAGCAGGTAGCCTGATGATGTGGAGATCAGCATCTTGGAACAGTCTGGTGTCAGACGCATTCTCATCAGGTAGCGCGTGTGGAAGAACTTCTTGTGGGGGCAGCCATCCTCCGTAAACCTACAGGTAGAGGAGAGAGGAGGAGTCAGGTAGAGGAGGAGTCAGGTAGAGGAGGAGTCAGGTAGAGGAGAGAGGAGGAGTCAGGTAGAGGAGGAGTCAGGTAGAGGAGAGAGGAGGAGTCAGGTAGAGGAGGAGTCAGGTAGAGGAGGAGTCAGGTAGAGGAGAGAGGAGGAGTCAGGTAGAGGAGGAGTCAGGTAGGGAGGAGTCAGGTAGAGGAGATAGCGAGGAGGTCAGGTAGAGGAGGAGTCAGGTAGAGGAGAGAGGAGGAGGTCAGGTAGAGGAGGAGTCAGGTAGAGGAGAGAGGAGGAGTCAGGTAGAGGAGGAGTCAGGTAGAGGAGGAGTCAGGTAGAGGAGGAGTCAGGTAGAGGAGGAGTCAGATAGAGGAGGAGTCAGATAGAGGAGGAGTCAGATAGAGGAGGAGTCAGATAGAGGAGGGGTCAGGTAGAGGAGAGGTCAGATAGAGGAGGAGTCAGGGCCTACATCCCAAATGCCACCTTAATCCTATTTAAGTGCACTACTGTTGACCAGAAACCTTTGGTAGTGCACTATAGTATAGTAGTCACTCTATAGAGAATAGCATGCCATTTCTGTTGTACAAACACTGGCATATCACAGATTGGACACTGGCATATCACAGATTGGACACTGGCATATCACAGACGTCGACACACACCTGTTGGTGTCCCAGGTGATGACGTTTCCGTCGAAGCCGGAGGTGACGAGGAGTCGTGTGCTGGTGTCGTACTCGATGTTCTTGACCCAGCTGGCGTGACCGTGCAGCGAGCACACCTTAGAGTTCAGCTTCCTCAGGTCCCACAGAGCTATGGTGGTGTCATCAGAACACGTGGCAAACAAACGGTTGTCCAGAAACCTGTGAAGAGAAGAGCAGCCCGTACATTATAACAACAATACTGTACATGGCATTTAGAAAAACGCTTTTCAAAGGACCCAAAGGGGCTCAAAGACCCAAAGGGGCTCAGTCTTTCTGTGATTCCTCGCCTTCCATTTCCTCGCCACCTTCTCAACCGTATTGGATGAGAAGGTCCAGGGTGCCTCCCCTCAGGGAGACATGATTGTCTAATGTGTTTTGAGACGGACGCAGAGAGAGAGGAATCTAGCTGAAATAGAGCCATGAGACATGGATGTGTAGAGAATCCGTCTGCTAGGACAGTCTTCTTAGGACACCAAAGCAGTCTGGATAGAGCCATGTCTCAGGGCTGGAGCAGACCTAGGGAGATTACTTACAGGACAAACAGCATTGACAGACTTCTGACAGAGACAGACAGGAAGGAGAAGGCTTGGGAACAGCCAGCAGTATCTCTGGTCCAGGGAGGTTATGTGTGGCCTGCTCAAGGCTCAGCATCGGTTAGTCACATGTAAATGCCCTGGACCAGAGATAGGGAACATCCAGCTAGCGTACAGACAGACAGGAGAAGACAGGAGAAGGCAGGAGAAGACAGGAGAAGGCAGGAGAAGACAGGAGAAGACAGGAGAAGGCAGGAGAAGGCAGGAGAAGACAGGAGAAGACAGGAGAAGACAGGAGAAGACAGGAGAAGGCAGGAGAAGACAGGAGAAGTCAGGAGAAGGCAGGAGAAGGCAGGAGAAGACAGGAGAAGGCAGGAGAAGGCAGGAGAAGACAGGAGAAGACAGGAGAAGGCAGGAGAAGACAGGAGAAGGCAGGAGAAAGACAGGAGGAAGACAGGAGAAGCAGGAGAGAAGAAGGCAGGAGAAGGGGACAGGAGGAAGACAGGAGAGGCAGGAGAGGCAGGAAGACAGAGGAGAAGCAGGGCATTAAGAAAACTCGAAGCAGGCACAGCTGATGCAAGGTAGATCAACAGGCTGATAACAGTCCAGGGCTTAGATAACTAGTCCAGGGCTTGAAATAGTCCAGGGCTTGATAACTAGTCCAGGGCTTGATAACTAGTCCAGGGCTTGATAACTAGTCCAGGGCTTGATAACTAGTCCAGGGCTTGATAACTAGTCCAGGGCTTGATAACTAGTCCAGGGCTTGATAACTAGTCCAGGGCTTGATAACTAGTCGACAAGTTGAATCAGGTGTGTTAACTCTGGAATAGTTCCAATACATGGAACGGCTGGGTGGACCTGGGGAGAGGTTAGAGAAAGTCTGGGCTGGAGACTGGAATAGTTCCAATACATGGAACGGCTGGGTGGACCTGAGGAGAGGTTAGAGAAAGTCTGGGCTGGAGACTGGAATAGTTCCAATACATGGAACGGCTGGGTGGACCTGGGGAGAGGTTAGAGAAAGTCTGGGCTGGAGACTGGAATAGTTCCAATACATGGAACGGCTGGGTGGACCTGGGGAGAGGTTAGAGAAAGTCTGGGCTGGAGACTGGAATAGTTCCAATACATGGAACGGCTGGGTGGACCTGGGGAGAGGTTAGAGAAAGTCTGGGCTGGAGACTGGAATAGTTCCAATACATGGAACGGCTGGGTGGACCTGGGGAGAGGTTAGAGAAAGTCTGGGCTGGAGACTGGAATAGTTCCAATACATGGAACGGCTGGGTGGACCTGGGGAGAGGTTAGAGAAAGTCTGGGCTGGAGATGTCGTCGAGGAGTATGAGGTGTCTCCTCTCTTAACGCCCAGGAAGCTCCCATTAAAAATGCCAGTAGACAGCTCTGCAAGTTGTTATAATGTCCAAAATATGTTCGTTACTCACAGAATATGGCGGGGTCTACGCTTTGTTGTTGTTGGAATCCCAGACTGCCCCTTTAAATCATCAATAGCATTCTGTTTGATTTACAAAGCTGCTACCCCTAAGATAAGTTGGAGCTCAATCATGCACACTTCATATCACAATTGCACAGACAATTACTTGCATCTAAACACAACATTTTTAATGTCACCGAAATCGCCAGACCTCAGTCTTAAGGGGGGCATATGAAATGCATGGGAGGGCAGGGCACAATTATTATTAGCCTACAGTACGTATATTTAATAATACATTCCCTCAAGTGGGGGGGGGGGGGCACAAGCATTTTTGGGGCGGGCCCGGCCCCCTATGGCCCGCCCATAGCGACGGGTGTGGGAGTTTCGCTGAGCAACTATCATCATTTAGTCCTGTTTACAGCTAGTATGTACTTCCAGAAAAGGTGTAAAAATGCCTCTTCGGCACCTCCAACGTATTGAGCTGTTGTAGACTTCAGACCTCTGCGTGGCAATTATGAGTGATTGCTGTTGTTGTGTTGAAAATGCTTTTTTTTTTTTGGTTGCTTGTACATTTTTACTTAAGACCTTTTTTTGGAAGTACATGCCGGCCGTAAATGATGACAGTTGCTCAGCGAAACTCTACATTTGGTGAACAACGAACATATTTTGACATTAAAGCTTGCAGAGCTGTCTAAGGGCAGTTTGAATCTGAGCTTCCTGGACGTTAAGAGAGGAGACACCTCATGCTCCTCGTCGACATCTCTAACGACCAGATACTGGGGCAGACAACACCCAGCTAGCTATCCTACCTGATGTTGTTGACACAGTCTTCATGCGCCTCCACCAGGGTCTTGATGTGTTTGGAGGAGATGGGGTCAAACAGGAGAACCTCTGTCTGCTCACAGGCCACTGTCAGGACAGACCTGTGGAGGGGTGGGACGTAAGGTCACAACAGAAACAGGCCCTCCCCTACGACTCCTGGATAAGTTGGTTCTTCCTGGTCAACTTGTGTAATGTAAAAAAGGTCTGTCTGTGGATTGTGACTACTGATCATACAACTTAACTAGCTTTCCTATTACCATCTTGCACAAATATGGATAAAACTTCTGTCTAAAAATGTACACAAAACAAACAAACACGTAAAAATCAATTTCATCCTGTCCTTACCCGTCGGGGGAGTATTCCAAATTGAACACCGCGCCATGAGTTTGGGTATTGAGGTTGACCGAGTCTGCAGCCGGACTCATGGAAGAATACAAGTTCGTCATTGTCCTAAAGTTATCCCTAGATGGATCCACGAACAGCCCTCTCCTAATAGTCCTGCTCTGTAGCATGGAGAACAGGCTGTTGGAGTTACTCTCAACCGAACCTGGGCCAGCCATAGCGGTACCCCCCTGCCCCGAGGCGCCTTGTACATTCGGCTGACACCGGGGATTGTCCTCCGCCGCTGCGAAATCCGACCTGGAGCTTCTCAGGTTAGGGCCACTCTCCTCTCGGCTGCTCTGCGGAGGAAGCGCCGGCGTCTTGCCTTCATCGTCGGAGTCGTCTGTCTCCGGGTCCTGTTCCTTGTCCGACAGCCTACTGCTGCTAGACCTGTCCTGCGACTCGTCCGCGTCCACGCTGTCGCTCTGTTGCTCCAAGCTCATTGTGCCTGTCAGGGCTATCGCCAACGGGTGCCTGCGCAGGCCCGTTGTTTCAGAGATAGTGTCTCGGTTCAACAACGAATTGTGCAATTACTGTATCCCGAATACACCTACCTCTACCCCGTTTAGAGAATCCCGCCCAAAAAACGTGAGTGGAATTTCAAGAAACTGACAGAGACGGGATGGCTAGTTGATGTAGCTAACCACACAAAACTGGAGCAAAATAGACGGTGCTGTGACGGAGTTCAGCTTCCTTCTTCTTCCGTTGAATTTTCTTATTCTTCTTCGATGAGGTTTAACGGCGCTTGGCATCCAATACATGTTGCATTACCGCCACCTACTGGACTGGAGTATAACTCCCTTATACTTTGCTTTAAAAAAATAAAAAATAAAACCAATACCCTACCATCTAACGCTACACTCACAAAATAATAATAATAATAATAATAATAATAATAATTGACCACCCAAACACAAAAATGTATGCACGCATGACTGTAAGTCGCTTTGGATAAAAGCGTCTGCTAAATGGCATATTATTATTATTATTATTATTATAATAATAACTACCATACTCCACTATTTAAATCTGTTAATTATTTATGCATAGTCACTTTAACTCTACCCACATGTACATATTACCTCAACTACCTCAACTAGCCGGTGCCCCCGCACATTGACTCTGCACCGGTACCCCCCTGTATATATAGCCTCCCTACTGTCACTTTATTTTACTTCTGCTCTTTTTTTCTCAACACTTTTTTTGTTGTTGTTTTTTTTACTTTTTTTGTTAAAAATAAATGCAACTGTTGGTTAAGGGCTGTAAGTAAACATTTCACTGTAATGTCTGCACCTGTTGTATTCGGCGCATGTGACCAATAACATTTGATTTGATTTGATTTTAAATCTATTTAGTCCTACCTCATTCCAACAGCCTGAAAGGATGGGACACCACCACTCAACACACCCTGTAACTCTTCTGAGGTCAAGTCTCGCACACCCAAATACCTCTCTGCAGCTGCCACCACAACCTTTATTTTCTGCGACTTACATTCCATCCCTGCAGTTGAAAACCGTTGCTATAAACGCTAAAAATCCAATCTTACTGAAACATATATCACTTGTTGGCCTATCCCTCTGTACTGGTACAGATCTACTACTCCCACCACTCCTCTCAGGATCCCTCCCCCTTGACCCATCTTCCTCTACTTTCTTCACTGCCTCAGCATTTGACAACTTCTGCACTACTGTAACCCTGGAAACCTCAACCTGCCTCTCTCTCGCACCGGACATTTCTGATCCCCAGCCCCATGGGCACCCCTACAATTAACACATACCACTACTTTCCCCAATGCTACACATTCCTTAGTCTCATGCCTTTCTGCACACTTCTCACACCTCCCTCCTACACACTGCTGCCACATGCCCATAAGCTTGACACCTGTAACAACGTAATGTATTAAGCACAAAAGCTCGAAACCGGATAACTTATATATCCTAACATCACTTTGTTGGGCAAAGACTCAACATCAAAACTCAAAAGACCAGCAGAAACACAAACAATTATCACTACACCACTTCTGATTACCCTCACTGATTCCACAGTACCCAACTCTGTTTTCACCCACCCTGAAACCACACATGGATCAGCCAAAAGGCAAGGGTCCATTTTTTCCACAAACTTCACTCCTACTGTCACAGACTCATCTTTATCCTGAACCTCGGTGCAAGCCTCGGGCTCCGAGAACTTCACCACACCTACCACCTCCGATACTTCCCCCTCATTCACTTCCATTTCTCCTCCTGTCTTCAACTCACCCTACTTACACTTTCTACCATTCTTCTTTAACAAACCTTCTCCCTTTTCTCAACCATTTTTAACTGTCTCAATCTCACCCTCTTCCTCCCTCTCTCTCTTAGACCTCCTCTGCCTCTCTTTTTCCCCTCCATTCCTCCTCCGTATTCCAAGTATACGTCTCCTTATGATAACACTGCACTTCTCCTGACATACATCTAGTTCTTGCCTTGTCAAGGGACGCCATTTAACCGGCTGTCACAATCTCCGTACATTCAGCACGAACCTCTCGGGATGTAACGCTCAACAGTGCATCCCACTTGTAAAGCAGCCCCTGACCGTCTCTTCCCATCCCCCTTGTAAAGCAGCCCCTGACCGTCTCTTCCCATCCCACTTGTAAAGCAGCCCCTGACCGTCTCTTCCCTTGTAAAGCAGCCCCTGACCGTCTCTTCCCACCCCCCTTGTAAAGCAGCCCCTGACCGTCTCTTCCCATCCCACTTGTAAAGCAGCCCCTGACCGTCTCTTCCCTTGTAAAGCAGCCCCTGACCGTCTCTTCCCATCCCCCTTGTAAAGCAGCCCCTGACCGTCTCTTCCCATCCCCCTTGTAAAGCAGCCCCTGACCGTCTCTTCCCATCCCACTTGTAAAGCAGCCCCTGACCGTCTCTTCCCATCCCACTTGTAAAGCAGCCCCTGACCGTCTCTTCCCATCCCCCTTGTAAAGCAGCCCCTGACCGTCTCTTCCCATCCCCCTTGTAAAGCAGCCCCTGACCGTCTCTTCCCATCCCACTTGTAAAGCAGCCCCTGACCGTCTCTTCCCATCCCCCTTGTAAAGCAGCCCCTGACCGTCTCTTCCTTGCGTTTCGTCGATGCCTTGGAATCTACCAAGAAGAGCGCGCATGAGGGCACGAGCATTCCGGAAAACTCAGTGGAATTTCAGTGGGTCGAAACTAAGATAATATGTCGGATACCGCCATCTGGTGGACATAGTTATACTTTGATTTCATAAAACAGTTCCATATGCAAAAGTCCAAATCAAATGCGATTTGTCACAAGCATCGAACGAATATAACGGGTGTAGACTTAACCGTGACATGCTTGCTTACGAGTTCTTTCCAACGATGCAGAGTAAAAAATATATATAAAAATATAAAAAATAGTAACACAAGAGGAATACAAGAATGGAGCTTTATACAGGGAGTACCAGATCAATACCAGTACCAGATCAATATGCAGAGGTACGAGGTATTTGAGGTAGATATGTACATGAAGGCAGGGTAAAGTGACTCGGCATCAGGATAGATAATAATAAGGTATTTGAGGTAGATATGTACATGAAGGCAGGGTAAAGTGACTCGGCATCAGGATAGATAATAATAAGGTATTTGAGGTAGATATGTACATGAAGGCAGGGTAAAGTGACTAGGCATCAGGATAGATAATAATAAGGTATTTGAGGTAGATATGGACACGAAGGCAGGGTAAAGTGACTCGGCATCAGGATAGATAATAATAAGGTATTTGAGGTAGATATGTACATGAAGGCAGGGTAAAGTGACTAGGCATCAGGATAGATAATAATAAGGTATTTGAGGTAGATATGGACACGAAGGCAGGGTAAAGTGACTCGGCATCAGGATAGATAATAATAAGGTATTTGAGGTAGATATGTACATGAAGGCAGGGTAAAGTGACTAGGCATCAGGATAGATAATAATAAGGTATTTGAGGTAGATATGTACATGAAGGCAGGGTAAAGTGACTAGGCATCAGGATAGATAATAATAAGGTATTTGAGGTAGATATGTACATGAAGGCAGGGTAAAGTGACTCGGCATCAGGATAGATAATAATAAGGTATTTGAGGTAGATATGTACATGAAGGCAGGGTAAAGTGACTAGGCATCAGGATAGATAATAATAAGGTATTTGAGGTAGATATGTACATGAAGGCAGGGTAAAGTGACTAGGCATCAGGATAGATAATAATAAGGTATTTGAGGTAGATATGTACATGAAGGCAGGGTAAAGTGACTAGGCATCAGGATAGATAATAATAAGGTATTTGAGGTAGATATGTACATGAAGGCAGGGTAAAGTGACTAGGCATCAGGATAGATAATAATAAGAGTAAAATAAAGAACATGATGAGTGTAAAAGTGTGTTGGTTTTTGTGTTGGTTATCAATATACAGTTTATCGACTACGAGAGCTAAACGTTTCCCTTTTAATATATTCACCTTGAAGACTGGGTAGCTACATTGCCGTTCTGCAATTTCCTTCAGGAACGGATCATTCATGCCTATTTTCATGCCAGCGAGTCTTTCACCCAGGCTTTTAACCATTACTTTATCTGAAAAGAATGCAAATTTGGCAACAATTTGACTCATATCTCTGTCCTCTCTGTCCGAAACGGTGTACACATTCGAGTTTGATTTCGTCGACAGTATCGCCTGGGATCTGTAGCGCTTTAAGAAATAATTATTTCCCCTTCTGGATCTTCATCCACATTTTCTTTGATTCCAGTAAGTACCCGATTTTCTCTCATAGATCTAGTCTGTATTTCAAGTAAGGTTTCTCTCAGAAAGATGTTCTCCTTTTTAAGTTCTTTAATCAATAGTTTTAATTGGCAGGCATTTATTTAATTGGCAGGCATTGTGTTAGGTTTGGCTTTTTAAGCCAATCGTGGCTAACCAGGGGTGGGATAATGTCAATGTTGCTTTGATTAAATAGTAGCTGGGAGCTTGCAGTGTCAGATACTTGTGAGATTTCTTTATGTACGTTTTAATGGAACACATGAAAAATTGCATATTCTTTCGGAATTGTTTGGCGAGTTACTCAGTCATGGGCTGGTAGCTACTGATCGACCTGTTGGAGACCCCTGCTGTAGATTACAGTATAGTATAGTATAGTATAGTATAGTATAGTATAGTATAGTACAGTATAGTACAGTACAGTACAGTACAGTACAGTACAGTACAGTATAGTATAGTATAGTATAGTACAGTATAGTATAGTACAGTAAAGTATAGTATAGTATAGTATAGTATAGTATAGTATAGTATAGTATAGTACAGTACAGTACAGTATAGTATAGTATAGTATAGTATAGTATAGTACAGTACAGTATAGTATAGTACAGTACAGTACAGTATAGTACAGTACAGTATAGTATAGTATAGTATAGTATATTATAGTATAGTATAGTACAGTATAGTATAGTATAGTATAGTACAGTACAGTACAGTATAGTATAGTATAGTATAGTATAGTACAGTACAGTACAGTATAGTATAGTATAGTACAGTAAAGTATAGTATAGTACAGTACAGTATAGTACAGTACAGTATAGTATAGTACAGTATAGTATAGTATAGTATAGTATAGTATAGTATAGTATAGTATAGTACTGTAAGGTACAGTACAGTAAAGTATAGTTCAGTACAGTTTAGTGCAGTTCAGTATAGTATAGTATAGTATAGTATAGTATAGTATAGTATAGTACAGTACA